TAAATGTGTGTTTTTGAGAACTTTTTACTGTAATAAAATTTAAATTCTAAACTTAAATCGGTAAAATGAACGAAACTTTAAGTTATTTTTATTTTTTTCTTTTGGTCGTTTGCGATGCATCCACGTGTACAAACTCAATATATTTGGGTTTAGAAAGTTGTTTAAGGCCCGTTTAATTCGCTGATTCGAATTCGAGTTGAGATGTGATTTTATGTGAGAGCTTTTTATTGTAGTAAAAAAATTAGATGTGATTATTTATAAAAGTTTTTTACTGTAACAAAATTTGAATTATAAACTCGAATCGATAAAATGAACAGGCCTAAAAGTCGAGAGAATGTGCCTTTAGTGTCATAGAAATGCTAACATGTCGAATCAAACACTCCTAAAAGATTTCGGGCACATTTTGTTGGTCAATCACTCATTCATTCAGTACACAAAGATGAGCATTTTTTAGTTAAATCAATGAGAATGGGAAAGTACACAATCACTTGTGCCTTTTTTATTATACAAATGCTCAAAACACCTGTGTTTATAAAATCAAACCAACAATAACAAGGCAATTATACTCATCTTTTCTTAAGAAGTAGGGTGACCTTCAGGGTCCCATCTTCCTGCAAAGTGTTTCCGCCGTCAAATTACTTCTATGCAGCTGCATTACAATAGAAGTAAAGAAACAACATGTTTGTATACAATTTCTTTTAAAGGGTTACCGACATTATTAATATATATATCATTCCTTTCTAGAATGAAACGAGGTTATTCGCATCGTTGATATGGAAGGATATTTAATGAGTATATTTTATATAATGAAATTATGTATGATTGTGACAAAAGACAATATGAATTTTTGATAATTTTCTTTAAGTATAAAAATTTTAATTGAGCCTACCGATGATCATATGTAGAATGATCTTAATCCTGAGTTATTAGCATACTCTTATTTATGGATTCGTGTCTTTTGACTCACTCGGAAAAGATCTCGACACGCTTAGATTTTATCCTTGTATCTTGGAGACATGAAGAAATAGGTAGCTGAGAATGCTAATATTACGAGATGGAATCCATTCCTTTTTTAGAAAGAAGCAGATAAATAATTCTCTCGATGATTGATTCGGTACTTAGATTAGTAGGAGCTCCAATTTATGAATGTGTTTTATGAATCACTATCCATTAGAAAATCAATGGTACTCAAAGATAAAGATGTAATTAGAGAGGTTAACGGATATCACCTAGCTCTAATTATGAACTATTTATGGAGGATCGATCTATATGAAGTGACTATATCAAATGGACGTTTCACAAATGTAATTAATTATCTATAATATCAATAGTGTAATTCTAAGTTTATAGTGGAATAACTTTTGTAATTAATAGAATTAATTAATTAATTAAAAAATTATTTAATTATTAATTTTATTGGAGCTTGATATTACGGGTTCATTAGTCACTACGTCGTCATGTTAATTCTACAAGACACTAAAGGTAAAAAAGTAAATTTAGAATTATGAAATTATAGAATTCTAAATTATATCACTCAAAAATAATTAATTAAGAATTAATTAAACATTAAATAATGTAATTATTATTTAATTTAATTTTGGAAAACAAAGGGTACACGCCCAGTCACTGGGTGTAGGGGACGTGTGGCACAGGGAGGAATCCCATTGGGATTCGCTTGCTTGTTCTCTAAGTTATCTAGTTTACTTGTTTACAAGTTGTCTAATTAAAATTTAAATTTACGGAAAGTTTAATTTTTATTAGAATTTGAATTTTGAAACAAAATTAGAAAATAGATAAAAGAGAAATCTTCTCCTTTTTTAACTGCTATTGGCGCCACACACATAGTTTTGGAAACTTTGGTGGCTGAATTTCACAAGGAAAAGGAAAGAGAAAATATTCTAAAATTTAAACGGAAAACTATCTCTAAATTTCAGAAAACTTCATCTTATGTGATAAGATAAACTTTCCATAGAGGTTAGGAGACACTCTAAAAATAAGGGATTACAAAAAATTAGAAAACACAAATTTCTCATTCTCTTATGTGATAGGCGTGTAACATATCAGTAATGAGCGTGTAACATTTTGTCAACAGCGTGCAGCATGCTAGTGACCGACGTGTAATTTTTTCACTCCCTTCTTAGTGGCTTGGCTATTGTTGGCATGTAATACACAGTTGGTTAGTATGTAACCTTCCTGCAGTGGCGTGTAACATTTTTTAGAAAAAAGAGAAGAAAAGTTCTTTTATTTCAAGTTCCACATTTACATGTGTTGATGTTTGTGGAAGACTTGTGAGACGAGTGATAGTCTTTATTGTGTTTTCAGGTGTGCCCAAACACACAATCTCGTTAGAATACAAGAATTGACAAGGAAGCCTTGTGGTAGTTTGAGGAACGGGAGCACTTGAATTGTTCGTGATCAAAGACTCAAGTTATATTCCTAATTAGTCGTAAGGTATAATTCCTGAATTAAATTAATTAGATTAATTTATTTCGTTGTCAATCAATATATTCTATAGCGTTCACAAAAATTTTATGAAAATTTTTATTCGGACCCAATCTATATTTCTATGTTTCTACACCCGAATTCGATTCGGAAACCAACACCAAGGACTTAAGCTGCTCAGAAGCTCTAAAATGTAATCCCACCAGAAGCCTATAATCAATTATGTGCTGTGATTCTAAGAACATGCAGTCTAATTCTATATGTCTGCACAAAAAGAGAGAATTCTACCAGTATTACATTTTGTGAATATACATTGTGTACCAAGATCATGACATTAGAATTCAATTTTCAATTCTTTCTGTTAATTGCAAAAAAATAAAAATAAAAATAAAAATAATAGTAAATTTCAGTTTTCTTGTGAATTTCAATCCCAACTGCTCCCTATCTTCTTAGAATCTTTTATAATATTGTCCTAACCTTCACAAGATCTCAGATATTATTCTACAGACCCACAATTTTCTGCAGCTTTCTTGTTTTCTTACCATCACCTTTTCTCAAGTGAGTGATATTGATACAACTCGGTACTTTATAAAAATAAATTGAAAAGAAAAAATGACACTTGATTGTGTTGGTAAAAGTACATTTTTATTGACTTAACTCATATATTTATACTAGTCAGACCACACACGTGATATTTTTTTTAAACGATTATTATACAAATTTTTGGAAGAAAAAAAAGGGAGAGAAAAGAAAAAAAAAAGGAAAAAAGAAACAAAGACAAGGAATAAAAAAAGTAAAAAAGAAAAATAGGGAAAAAAGAAAAAGGAAAAAAAGGGTAAAGAACAAGAAAAATTGAAAAACGAAAACAAAAGTAAATAATTAGTTAAAAAGGAAAAAAAGGGAAAATTAAAAAAAAAGTCACGAGAAAAGGGGAATTTTTTTTTTAAAAAAGGAAAAACATAAAACGTAAAAATTATATAAAAACAAAAAAAATGGTAAAAAAACGTAAAAAATGTAAAAAAGAAAAGAAAAAGAATTTAAGAAAAATTAAAAAATGAAAGCAAAGGTAAAAGATTAGTTAAAAGGGAAAAGCAACAAAAAGGGGGGGAAAAAAAGGAGGAAAAGGACAAAAAGAAAAAGAAATTAAAAAGAAGGGTCACAAGAAAAGGGGGGTTTTTTTTTTTTTTTTTTTTTTTTTTTTTAAAATTCCCCAAAAAAATTTTTTTTTTTTTTTCAAAGTTCCCCAAAACGCTGGCAGCACGGGGGATGCAATTGCAACTATAAGTCATTGAAAGACAACATTACCACGCATCTTTTAATTGTTTCTTTTTTTTTTTTTGTATTTTGTTTGAATCCTATTGATTCTGGTGTTGAATTTTGGTTTAGCCATTTCTTGTACGACAAGTTAAAAGGCAATGCAGAAATCATGATCTATTGATATGAAAGTTTGATATGGAAGAGGTTTCAAATAAGCGACACTTAACGACAAAAACAAGTAATCTCAAGTTAGAAGTGGTGTTATGTTTAGTATTTACAACATCTCTCGACCATGTTGTTCTTCATCGACAGTTTTTGTGATGTTTCTTTACTTGTACTGTAATACTATGGTAATTCCTCAAAAAGAAATTGTATACAAACATGATGTTTCTTTACTTGTACTGTAATATTGCAGCATGGAAGTAATTTGACGGCGGAAACACTTCGCAGGAAGATGGGACCGCGATGACCGCAGGCTCAACAAGGCACAAAACAGGCTGCAATTGCAGGAAGAAAATATATTGTAAAATGCTTCAAGGTACAAATTTATCAGTGCTTTTTCATCCAAAATGACGAACAAAATGTATACCGTTCTGTTCTTATATTACTAACATGTTGACGTTGCTTGGAAATCTCAAATATGCTAGCAATAAACAAAAATTTGCTCTTGAATTTGCTCTGATTGGATACAATTTTCTTCTTTTGAAGGGCAATGTGGGATGTTCACGTACTTGCAGACGTGAGGATTGCCAAAATTCTTTTGGCAGGAAATCGGATCCTGGTTAGACTCTATGGCCATGTGCTTTAAGATTACAAGCCCATTCATTTTACCGATTCGAGTTTAGAATTCGAGTTTTATTATAGTAAAAAACTCTAAAAAGCAGTCACATCTAACTTTTTTATTACAGTAAAAAATTCTCACATAAAATCACATCTCAACTTAAATTAAAAACTTAAATCAGCGAACTAAACGGACTCTACATATGCTCTCATGTTTGCGGCCAAATTCAACTGTCCAATTCCTACGTTCAACTGTCTGATTCCTTATATTTGCTGCCTCGGAAACAACTACCGTTTCGAAATAATAGCTTCACGACAATATGGCGACGAATTCTCTCGCTGAACACGTTTTCTCCTATTTGAAAATGAGATTAAATGATAGAGATGCTTCAATGGAGAAGTGAATTAATACACAAGCAACATGACATGATCTTTATATCATCGATGTAACATGAAGTAGAAATGGATGCTCTTATTACACGCATGGTTATACAAATGTACAACAAATAATATTAAAAGAATTGCTTATAATAGTTTGATATGAAGCCTTTCGTATAAAAAGAAGAAAATAAAAATAAAAATTGTTATTGTGAATAATAAAATAAAGGGAAAACAAAACTAGGGTCTTTCATGGTAGATCGGGGAAAATTCTCTCTAAGAATTTGGTGAATCGACTAGCATACAGGTGTGGCTCAACAACAGAAATTGACATGGGGTCAAATTGCGTTGACTTGTATGCATGCTCGAGTTTCTTTTTCACATTGTATTCCTGCAATATGTCAATTATTCCCATAAAAAGAACAACATCATAAACCTCAAAAAGTTCAACTTCTGAAGAGTCTTCCTCAACAAGACAAAGCTTCCGCTGTGCCTGCGCCGGCATATTTACTCCTAATTGCACTCGTAACCTGAGAAGAATGCAAGTAAATGTCTGTTATGCTATATTCGCACAATAATAAAACTGCTCTCAGATTCAACTGACAAATAACATCGAGTCACGGTACACAAAAACTTGTGAATGAAAATGATTGGATTGATAAAAAGTTCCGTTCGGTAAAATTCTTTTTTTTTTTTTTTTTTTCCTTTTTCTTTTTCACTTCATAGGACACACCCGTTGTGTAACTATTTCCACTTTAGCCTTATCGCTTCACTGCTTTCCATAAACGGGTCTACACACGAAGGAATAACACTCCTCAGATCCAAAGTGCCTCTTCTTCTTAGGTGATGCAGGACACACACAATCACCTTATCTTGGAATCCCCTTTGTGTACATATCGCCTCCTTTCAACTTTACTATAGTTTTCCTGCAAACATGTCCACACAAGAAGGGACAACCTTCGTCGTTATAAGTACCAGAGACCACCCACTACCAGTTAATGTGGAACACTCCATCATAGCTATTTCAATATCTCATATTTCACTGTATTCCATCCCAAGTGTCTCTATTTTCAGAGTAACCAAGCATAAGAGTAGTGACTCAGTATTGTTGATCACAACTTTACCACTCCACTAATCACCCTTAGTCTAATAGAGTTTGCGTTTCAATATTCACCCTTGTTGTTAACCCAAAGCACCGGTGAGTGTCCTAAATTAAGAGTGGTGTGACCTGTTACTTTCAACTTGGCCAAATCTGAGATGCAATACAATTGTGAGCAATGGCATCAACAAGTGATGGTTATCCATTTGAAGGTAAAGGAGGCTGTAAGTTATTAGGCTTATCATTCCACACACACAGAATTAAACATTAATCATAACAAATGTCAAGCAAAAGATTAGTTATGCCAGGGGTGACGAAACATTAGTAAGTAAAAAAAAATAAGCATAGAAACTACCTTCCAGTACCAGGGAGTAAAACATCAACTTCCTTGTCGCCTAAAGAAAATGCTTTTAGTGTCCTTCCTCTGATGTGAGGACCTGGTGCAGTACTGACAGAACTAGGTTCATGAGTTACCAATCGCAGGCCATTAGGAGGAATCGGAAGTTCAGCTTGCAGATTTTCACCTACTCAAATTAGAATGAAACGATTCATAAGCTAAGACAAAAGTAGAACAAGACAAGAAAGTATTTTCAAATAATAACACCAACGCATACATGGCAATTAACTACCATCTCGCTGACATCGTAAGAGATAATCTATTTTATTCCTTTAAGAATAAAATGTAGCTAGCTGTTGATAAGAATTTCTGTCAAGCCAGTCTGGCAAACAGCAGATCTGCCCGTAGCATTGCACTAAAATCACGTATAATTACATCCCGAAGGTTTACGTCAACTCTGCAGTGAGGTTTAGAGGCTTTTTCACTGAAATGACCTTGGTTACAAAGAGATTATAAACGTTACTATCTCACTTTCTGTCTTTTAATTGTTTGGGTCGGACGTGTTCGATTTTCTTTGAAGCAAGTCCATTAACTTTGTTTCTTGTTCTATGTACAATTTGTAGAGTACCATAGGTAGTTTAAATTTGAGATTTATATTGATTTTTGGAGTGAAACAAACCATTCATTCAAAGTAAAGAGAGAAAAAGGATTCTAAAACACTGAAATCAATAACTTGTACAATAACTACCAGTAAATACCAAAAAAAGATTTGCAGAATGAGACGCCTACCGTCATTAGCAAGTAAAGTCTCTAGAGTGTGCCTTGTATCAGGAGGTTCGAAGGACTTGAGCTGCTCAGGAGCTCTAAAATGTAATCCCACCAGAAGGCTATAATCAATTATCTGCTGTGATTCTAAGAACATGCAGTCTAATTTTATTTGTCTGCAAAAAGAGAGAATTCTACCAGTATTACATTTTGTGAATATACATTTTGTATCAATATCATGACATTGGAATTCAATTTTTAATCCTTTCTCTTAAAGGAAGAATTAAAATAAATGAATTCTTTCTGTTAATTGCAAAAAATAAAATTAAAAAATAAAAAAAAAATAGTAAATTTCAGTTTCCTTGTGAATTTCAATCTCAACTGCTCACTATCTTATTCAGATCTTTTAACTCTTATCCTAGCCATCCCAAGATCTCAGATAATGCTACAATTTTCTGCAGCTTTCTTGTTTGGTTACCCCTTTAACTACTTCAAAAACAAAATATATAAACACAAATATTGAGCTTCATCATCACCATTTCTCAAGTGAGTGATATGATAAAACTCCGATACTTTATAAAAAGATTGAAAAACAGATATCATACTTGGTTGTATTGGTAGAAGTACCATCAGAAATTTTCATCGACTTACTTAAACAGTGACTGCCGCAATAATTTGTCCATATGAAACTCATATGTCAGATCCAGATCTTTCAATGTGGTATGCTGGCTGATTTTATCTTTCTTTGTGATTCTCCCATGAGTTGATCCTTTCAAATCATAGCGACGATGAATCCGTAGTTCAGTATAGAACATATTCCCCATGACTACAAACCGTACCTGAGAAAACAAAATGGTTAAGAAGAAGAAAAGTAGTGAGCTGAATCACAGATGAGAAGTGTGGGCATCTTCTACGATAGTTTAAAGATAGCTCATTTTCTATTCTTTTGTGCTGCAAGGATGTTCCATAACGCGTTTTTTTTTGTTGCTGTGTTTCGTTAAATTCTTTTTCCTCTTTGCTTTATTTTGTTTGCTTGTTAGTCGTTCTCGTTGTCGATTACGCTTTATTTCGGAGAGAAAACAAATCATTGAACAAGATGCTTGGGAGAACTAAAAGTAAGTGCAAGTGATAAACTTGTAGACACCTTTCTTCCACCTCTTAACTTTATGCGATGGAGTCCAAAAAATTTCGTAATGAGTGTATTTTCATGTTCTCCTACATGACGATAGTAATTGGGCAGCATCTTGAGCATTGCCTACAAAAACAAATTAAATGGAAAAGAAGAACAAACAATATTATATATGAACATCCACCGCTTTTATCATTAAGTTAAAAAACACAACATTGGTACACTATTAAGTTTTGAAAACACAAGTGTAAGCTCTCAAATAATATAATTAAGCTACTATACCACGGAACTAATTTTGATACAAATGCAATGTGTTTCAACATCTTCAGCTGCAGTCCATTAGATTATTTCACATGTTATTTTTTTCAAATAAGAAATATCAACTTCAGAGTCACATTTTCAGGTAAGAAATTTAACCTGTGAATAAGTGTTTTCCAAATCACGATGTCATTATTTGAAATGTAAAGATTCATAAATGTAACCACTTATCTGTGAAGTATCAGCAAAAGTAATTTGGAATCCACAAATCCCATAATAAATTAGAAAACAGAGTAGTTTGGACAAGAGATGTGTCATGATGACAATGGCCGTACCTCTGTGTCTATTTGACCAGCCAAAAGATTACTAAAAATGCTTTCTTACAGTCTACCTCGCCTCATATGACATGCTCTGACTACCAGAGTTCGGGCAAACAAGATAATCTTCTGTTCATTATTTTTTATGATCACACTAAAGTTTGATCGTCATGAGGAGTTTGTCAAAGTCACTCAGAATCCCAGGATCCTATGAGTGGGTGGAAAAGTCTTACGTTTGTATTCCAATAAGTAAATATTTTTGTCACAATTCCCTGAATATATTTAAAAACTGATACACAAGGACGCAGCAACATCAACCTAATTTCATTCTTGATCCTTGGTATCACTTCAGCCCTAAGGTTCTACAGGATTTCCAAGTTAAATGTGAACATCCACAAATTACTTCCATGTGCAAACTGAACTTTGCTACCCTATTTTTGTTTGTTTCATGATGTGTAATCTTGTTGCCAAAATTGACCTGACAAGGACCCTATAAGTTTAAATTGTAATTTTAAACAACTTATCTACAGCCAAAAAAACGTGATAAGGTCCAATAAAAAAATTGTCACTTTCCATTCAGATAGACAAGTGAATCAGATAGAGATGCTACAGCTAGAAATTCAGAGTACAGAAATAAAATATTATATGGAAGTTCAAACCTTAAGTTCCGGCCTTTTTAATGTCTTAATTACAAATCTATCATCATGAGAGAGATAGAAAATACTGCCACTTTTCCCCGGAGAAGAAAGCTCTCTTAGACCATCATCACCACAAATGGACATCATATACTCTGCCGCATCTAACTTGAACATTTCCCTCAAATTCCTAATTTAGGTTAACAAGATTAGAGGAAATACTGAAAGAACTTTCAAATAGCTAATGCATATTGGAAAACAGAATGTATATGAAGTAATCATGTGGGGCGCTTTGTAGATACTAAGAAACTTAGGGGTCTGATTGTTATTCTGGTCATTGATGTACTTTATCAGATAATATTAGGATACATATCAAAATCCTTTATATCCCTCATATTATCCTTTTGTGCATCCCTGATTTTATGTCTTGATTTTTAACTATTTATAAATTGACAGCTCTAAGTAGAGTTTCACAGGTTAAAGAGGGCTATTAGAAGGAGAACAAGTAGTATTTAGTTTGTCTCGTTTTACTTTTAGCCGTGAACCAAGGTTCCTGAGTGTTTATTATACGTATGCAGGAAAGATAAAGATTAAACTTTTTCCCTTTAAATATGTAGGTAGCAGATAGTCAAAGTCAAACATTAAAAGAAAAGCATTTCACACCAACCGTGTACTAATGCATCATAAAGTATGGTTAATGACTAGTATAAGATATAAACAGGGGAGGAAGTTAAACAAAACAAGATGATACATTATGAACTTAAAAATTTGCCAGATTTAACAAGGCAACTAAAGCATAAAAAGAAGCAAAAATCACAACGATGCTTGAACTTTCAAAGTTACTGCGGAAAAAAAAGAAAGGCAAAGAACCCCATAAAGGTATAAACCTATTAATTCCTTCCCTCTATGAAGACAAACTCACATAAAATTTACAGCATACTAGTTGTTAGGTAGTTTTCTGTTCTATTCGTACTTTTTTTCCGCACAAAAATATCTGGACAGCATGTTTCAAAGCTTAATACCATTATTTTTGTCTTTTTCTGGAGTAACTCGAACCAGTCAATTTTACGTGAAATGTAGGAAGACACGATGGATTAACTACCATAATTCCTCTCCTTTTGTTTTCTCCCAATCCCTAGAGTCAGAATTTCCCAAAACTTTTGATGTTATTATTATTATTTTTGAAAAAAAAAGGCCTCTTCAAAGTAATTTCAAATAAAAGATGTGAAAAAATGAAAGGAATACTATTTCTTATTTATGAGACTATGGTAGACCCTTATTAACCTAATGCTACAACTTCAATGGCCAGTGAAAGTGACCTAGACAGACAGATAACCTGTCCTCGAGTGGCGCTCGAGCAAGCAATTCAAATGCATGCATCTCGCACATATAAGATTAGAAAATACCTGAAGACCATAGGGCAATAATCTTTCCAGTAGAAATCAATTGAATCGTGCGGAGGTGTGAACTGGGAACCTTTTCGGGGGAAATACATCCTTATTCTAGCTCGATCTCCAAAATCGGAAGATCGAACTTCACGCACAGGAACTGGTGTGATCTTGCCAACAGTATACCTGTGAACTTCAAATAGGATTTCAGTAAATGTTACAAATCCCAGAAAAGTAGTTAGTTTACTTAAAAGAGAAACAGAAAATACCAGGAAAAGTTTCACCGCCAAAAGAGAGAGAGAGAGAGAGAGAGAGAGAGAGAGAGAGAGAGATAAATGCAGAAATGAATTTAATAAAACCACTTGAACTGAATTAATCCATTTAACAGATTGAAATTATATCTCGGTAAATTCTAGCTGCAGATATAGTGATTTAGAAAAGGAAAAAATTAGGCTTATGCGTGATTGTTTATATGGGATCACATAGTGAAAGTATCTGCACCTTAATCTGGATAAGAAAGTAATGTTTTTGATTCTCACAAAGGAGATTGAAACTTGAGGTCTGAGTTCTAATCAACAAACAACAAATTAGAACTTATTATACACACTAGACTACAGTTAACAGTTGAATTCGAGAAATGATTTTATCCACGCACCCTAAACTGTAAAAGAAAAGATGAGAGAGCAAGCAAACCTGATACCAAGTTGCAAATTAAGTCTTAAATAATGACTCCGACGGCCTTCAAAAATGTCAATGCATGACGCCTTCTTTGCTTTGTCCGTATGAAAGCTATTTGGCTCTTTACATTTTTTTGACAACTCGGTATACTTCCTTATTCTCTCTTTAATCAGAACCCCCTGCATGTATTCCCTTTCATAGACTAAACTGTCACTATCTTGTGACACATATTGACCTCCTTCTATAGTATTGGACAATGTGCACGAGGGGTCATGGCACAAGAAATTTCTAGAAGAACTAGAAGTTCTAAAATTTTGCTTTAACAATGTAGCCCCGTGTGATATTCGACTTGAACTTTTCAAAAATCCACCGACAGAAATCTTCTCTGATAGACTTCTCTTAACAATTGATGTTTGCGCTTTTCCTTCTGAATTCAATGATGAAGATGACAGCAGATTCTTCCCCTCCTTATCATAATCACGAGAGCTACAACACTTCATTAGGTATGGATGTTTACTTCCAGCAGGATAGAAAATTCCTTTTCCATCCTTTAGATCCTGACTCCACGTTCCAAAATAGTATCCTCCATCTGCATACCTATAAATGCCATTCCCATGTCTAAACCCATTTAACCAAAGGCCATCAAAAAGATCACCATTTGCCCATCTCATAACCCCTCTACCACACATTTTCCCAGCTTTCCAACTCCCAATATACATATTTCCACTGTTCCATGTGTACTTACCGCTACCATCATGTGCTCCTTCCTTCCATTGACCTTCATAAATTTCAGAATTACAATATTGCTTTTTTCCAACACCGTGCACAATATTCATCCTCCATGCCCCCCTGTAAATTGACCCATCAGATCCAGTTAAGGTACCAAAACCATGAAGGTAACCCCCAGAGAAATCACCTTCATATCTTGCTCCTGACAACCAGATCATGTTTCCTTTCCCTGTCATCTTACCATTTTCCCAATCACCCTCATATACAGTCCCATCTGACCACGTGTATTTACCGTTACCATGTGGCAGCACTCCATTAAAATTTCCAACATAAACGTCCCCATTTGAGAAGGCTTTCTCCCCAGACCTGGAATTAGTTCAAAGAGATCAGAACAACTAGATCAAGATACTGTTGCAGTTGAACCTGACATTCTTACATGAGAACAAAGGGAGAACAAAGGGACACACAGAATTAAGCTGACAAACTTTACGAAATTTACCTTTCAGTGTCTTCCATAACCAGCTAATGAAAACCAATTCAACTGCTCTCAATGACTTCTACTAACTTCATCTCTCAAACTCTTTCAAATCTAGACAAGCCATTAAGAAGTTAGAAAAAACTCTCTTCATGAACCTTTACAGCTAACAGCCACAGCAATCGTGCACCCCTGTGTATTCAACCATAAAAGAACAAGTCAATATAAGCATAATCAAAAGCATTCAAATTTTGTTGTGGGCAATTTACTAGTTCTTGGACACTGATTTAGATTAGCTTTGTGATGGCCAACAAAAATGTTTGATTCCATATTCTCATTATATTGCTTATGATGGTCCCCAATCATGTTTGTATCTGCTTTGTGAATGCGCAAAAAGTTAAACAAACACTTGGCCCGCTAAATTTGATACTTTTCGGTTAAGATAAGTTAACTAAGTTGAAATTTTCATTTTTCTGCAGCTCTTGGATTAGAAGAAATTGATTTAACCAAACCTAACCGAAAAGTACACACTTGCTGTTAAAGGAACCAATTTTGACGAAACAAAAACATGAATTCATTGATATTGCCAACATAAAATTTGAGAATATCCCAGTTCACTATTTGATTCAAATTACTTATTTCTAACGATATCCTATATTTCTAACAATACAAGAACAAAAATCATAGGATAAAATATTACAGTTGAACTCATTTCTAGCTCAAAACTTCTGCTTTTTAGCTCACAAACAAACATGTTATTCAGAGAGAAACGAAAAACACAATAAACCGAAAACAGAACAATAAGTCACCACTCGTTTCCATTTGAAATTCACTTTTCTCCATTATTTCTCCTTCAAACTCCATTTCATTTCATATATTCCATTGAATTAAATCAGAAAAAACACTGATTCGAAGCAAAAACGATTGGTTTTCACTCAAAAGTTGAATGCAAAAAAAAAAAAACAAAAAAACAAAAACAAATATTTCCGAATGAGGAAAACGAAAAGAAGAAACTCACCTCGATTTAGACCGGAAAATGGAACGCCAACCAGCGCTAACCAGAGATAGCTTAAAGAGGATGAATTGATTTCCAAATTGAAGAAGAAGCCCTTTTTATTCGAGTATAATAAATATATAATAATATTATATCAGTTCGTTCTTTTCCCCTACCAAATAAATTAATAAACAATTAATTAATTAAAAAATCACATCAAATTGAACCCACCTTTGTCTTTTCCTTCGTATGGAGATCCTCCTTGAAATTGACACTTCACCTGTTCACCACTATTATCTCTCACTGTTTTTATTTTTTTACTATTTTATTTTTTAATTTTTTTTGTGTGGTTCAAATTGTAATTTAATCAGTAAATAAAATTTAAATTTATTTTGTGTAAAAAATAGTTACTATTTAAAAATAGTTTACACGGTTGAATTTAATTTTTTAATTAAATTCTAAATTTAATAATTTAATTAAATTTAAATAAAAATATAATTCAGACTCTATACTAATTAAATACGAATTCAAACCTTATTTTCAATTTGAAAACTGAATTAAACAACAAATGGGGTTGATTTCTCTTTAATTAAAAAGATGTTTGGTTCATGAATTATAATCATGAGATTAAAATTATTTTTAATGAATAAAAATACTGTAACAAATTATGAACTATGATTTAAATCGAGATATAAATCTCCAAACTAAATAATACATGCTCTTCTCTTCTTTTCTAAACAAAAGAAAAGAGGGGAAAAAAAAAAGGAAAAATTGTTAACATGGCTTTCCGACCAACATGCATGACCGACAAGTTTGTTCTTTTCTTTTCCCTCTTTCGAGTATTTTCCTTTTCCACTGTGCCTTAAGTGTTGGGACATGGACACGTGTCGGGAAGTGGGTCCCGAATCTTTATATTTAAATATTCCTTAAAATTGTGGGATGAATTGACAGCCACGTGGGGTCCACTGGAAGTCAGTGGTTGTGATTGGAGGATGCGTGAACCTGAGTTGTATGTGATTCTCATGGGTTTATTATAAATTTATTTAAGGCTCGATTAATTTGTTAATTTTAGTTTATTGATTTGAATTTTTATTTTAAATTAAGATATAATTTTATATAAAAAATTTTTATTATAATAAAAAAATTAAATATAACTATTTACGTAACAAAATTTAAATTATGAACTTAAGATCCCGTTTATTTCGCTGATTCGAGTTTAGAATTCGAATTTTGTTACAGTAAAAAGTTCTCATAAACAATCACATCTAACTTTTTTATTACAGTAAAAAATTCTCACATAAAATCACATCTTAACTCGAATTAAAAACTCAAAACAGCGAACTAAACGGGCCTTTTAATGGAATCGAATAATGCCGGAATGCTGCGTAACTTTTTTTTTATATATAATTAATATTTTTTGTGCTTCTAAATTTTAAAATTATTTTTAATTTATTTTTTACATTTTAAAAATTCTTACTTTACTTCTTAAATTTTAATTTAACCCTACTCAATCCATTTTGTTAGTATTTATGTTAAAATTAAATGAAAAAGGAAGTTAAATATAGTCACTTGGTGTTTTTTATTTATTTTTAATAGAAGGTCAAATAAAATGACCATATGTGATCACAACATTCTCTTTTTCTCCGTTGTATTTAATGGAAACTCTAACGAAAAGAATTAAATAAGATTAATTTAAAATTTAGGTGAGAGCTTTTTTTTAAAAAATTTGAAAAATAAATTAAGAACAAATTTAAAGTTTAGGAGGTACCAATAAAAATATATGTCCATATTATTTTAGTAATTGGACTCTATAGCACCTCATGCAGTAGAGCAATGTGTTACGTACGGATGTTATTTTTAATATATTATATACAATTCACAATATTACTTTACCTTTTCTTGAACGTAGACATATAAGAGAAGCCATTTCAAAATGGTATTTATTTTAATGGGGATGGGTTAAAACTCATTAAGTTGAGTTTCACTATCTACTTAATCGGTTTTAGTATGTATAAGCAGCGGAGTTTTAACCTCATCAAGATGAATAAAGATGCTCCATTTACATCACATGGATGTGGCACCACTCACACCTTTTTTTTTTTTTTTGTAAAAAAAGGAATTTAGTGGTGCATTTCATGTCTCCTAGTCCCTTTGATTATAACAGTAATTTTAAGGACCACAGATTGTGTAGAAATGGCCTAAACTAATTTCTCACTGATTATCTAACCAGTCACTCACACGTTTTAAGTTAGGAGTGTCCATTAGGCAGACGGCGCAACACGATATACCATAATAATTAAGTGTAAATTGTGTCACTCACGCGTTTTAAATTAGGAGTATCCATTAGGCAGACGACGCAACACGATATACCACAATTAAGTGTGAATCGTGTCCGACATGCATCATGCATATCACATATATGTCTGAGATACAACTAACACTCTAGATTGGGTGGATTTTGTCTAGTGTTCATAAATACGTGAGCATGTCGATCCTTACCACAACACAACAGGGCCCTAACCATACATTATTTAACCTGCATTAATAACAGGGGATGCTGCTTGCCTGCCCATATACACAATATATATATATATATATATATGTATACACGCGCAGCACGTGTGAGCGCTTAAAATATTATGGCATATTTAGTTTGCTAATTTGAGTTTTTAATTCGAGTTGAAATATGATTTTATGTGATAGCTTTTTACTGTAGCAAAAAGTTAAATGTGATTATTTTTTTGAGCTTTTTACTGTAATAAAATTCCAATGAAATGAACGGAGCCTTAATTTTGCATTAATATTATTAGTTTATTAATTAGTTTATCAATCTATCCAAAAAGTTTAAACTATTTAAAAATGTACGAATAATATATAGTTTTATATTCAACATATATAACCTTTATGTGTATGACTGGAAATAGGCAAATGAGTAAGTAGATATTAATTAAACCAACTTAAAAAGAAACTAGAAACATGTTAAAAGTTCATTAACACGTGATGATAATTTTAAATGGCATAAAAATAATATGCAATCACAAGAATTTAAATTCAAGACCTCTTATTTTGATACCATACTCACTTATCAATTATTTTGAGAGGATGAAATCACTGGTTCTCAAGCCATGATATGTATGATAACAGTGACTGAATAAAAAATTTCGCAAGTGGGGAACAAGCAGTTGTGAATATAAACAAATGGATATATCTTGATTATAATTATCAATGTAATTGTTCTTAAGCGAGCACAAGAAAAATATAGAGATATAAATAATGAATAAGCAACTCAAAGTTAACAAAAACAAAAATGTATTTATCAAAATCTTATCGAGTGATGTTTGATAGGGTTTATGAGTAGATAATGAACTTATCAAAATCTAGCAATATTAACTCTTACCCAATCTTTATTATTTTGTAAAAGAAAATGTGCCATTAGGATGGGACGAGAAAAAAACACCCAAATGAGCGAAAAAGATTACATTATGAGCCAAAGTAGACGGAAGACACAGAAATCTCATTCATTTCACCGATTCGAGTTTTGTTACAGTAAAAAACTCTCAGAAATAAGTCATATCTAATTTTTTTGCTACAATAAAAAGCTCTCACATAAAGTCACATCTTGACTCGAATTAAAAACTCGAATCAACGAACTAAACGGGCCCAAAATATATTTAAAAAGCGGAAATAGTAGAAAATAGGCCAATATGAAAAGCTTAAGAAAGTATATAGGCCAATTTTTAGTTATAGAAATTAATTTATGGTTCATAACCAGATAAGTTATGGACAAACTTGTCAAGTTATAGTTCATAGCCAGACAAGTTATGGACAAAAACCGTGAATTATGGATAATAACTTGTCAAGTTATGGTTTATAACTAGACAAGTTATGGATAAAAATAGTAATTTGACATATTTATTAACTTATGTAAACTATTGGTCTATTTTCTTCTTTCTTTTTTAAAAAAGTTAAGTTTGTAATTGCATAGCACGCATGAAACAAATATAATACCATAATATCCTTAAGAGAATGTTTGATTTTTTTTCATCATTCTTAATCTCCATCCTTCCTGAGTATTATTAAATTCTCATATTAATATGGTCCCATGTGCTTTATATATGTTGACGCATATTCGATTAAGCAACTTCATTGTGGTAGCGAAACTTTTGTTCTAAATACGCTACTTTTTCACAATTAGTGAAGATCAGGTTAGCATATATATATATATATATATATATATATATTCTGGCTCTTCTTTTACTTTGAATGATTCGTTTCACTTAAAATATTGTGGTTAAGAGAAAAACGTTTATTCTCTTGCGCTTTATTTATATATCAAGGTTTTTATTTGTTAGGTAAAAATATTGTTTGGCTATATAAAATATAAATTATATAATCATGTAGGATAAATAATTATATACGAATCAGATTCCGGGGGGAAAAAAACAGAGAGAGAGAGACAAAAACATAGATTGAGAAAATAAACAGAAATTGTAAGTAGAAAGTCGTATCGGGCAAAAAGTAAATAAATTGCCATTAGTGTGAGAATATGAAAATTAGCTCATCTCTAACACCTTAAACCTTTTAAGATATATAGATTGATAATTTAATAATAAGAAAGTTAATTTGGATAAAAAGAAGGGTAAGAACAAAAAATATAAAATTAATTTGGGGTAAAAAGTAAAAGAAAAAAGAAAAGGACTTTTTTTGATAATTCTTGTAAAAATAAACTATCGGTAGCTCCTTACTCTTAAACGTCGTTAGTTCTGTATCAGAATTTATCTTTTTTACATATTTTTTAATCAGATTTAATGATTAAAAATTAAAATTACTGGTAGGATGGATTACCAAAGAAGCTCCAAAAAAAAATTGGAAAGATAAGAAAAAAAACCATTAAAAAAAAGTCAACTCAGACAAGCGTTTCAAAACACTGTTCATTATCCAGTGCTTTTTGAAATTTATATGTAGTTAGATTCTAACTATATCTTCAGAATTCACACGCTCTTTTTGACTAAAATTTTGATATGGTCCTTATTTTAGGAATCTGATCCCATATATTTGATATACCCACTATTATTCTGAGTTCATTAATGAATCTCTCAAAGCCTCAAAACTACGCTCAAGGATATGTCACTATAATTTATGTGCTAAAAACTATGCGACCTTTAATGAGCTTGAACATCATATTTGAAAACGTTTGCGCATGTTTTTTAAGACACAAAAATGAAAATAGTCTACAAACCGCGTTTGTTTTGTAAATATTTTAAAAACGAAAACAAAAATAAAAAACAAAAGGAGAATGCTTTTTGTGAAAGAATTAGAAAATGACTGAAAGTTATTTTTCCTTTTCTGTTTTCATTTTATAGTACTTATTAACAATGTTATAATATATTAATTAATAATTATAACCAAACACAATTTCACCTTTTTATTATACTCAAAATAATCGCTTAAAAAATCAACGAAACACAATTTTAAAATCGGTCCTAAAATAATTCTTAAAACAATCTTATTTTTACTTTTGTATTGAAAATAAAATCATTTTGAAAACGTAACTAAACGGACCCAATGAGAATAGTTTTTGTGAATGAAGTAGAAAACGATTTAAAGTTATTTTCTCATTTTCATTTTCATTTTCTAGTATTTATCAATAATGTTATCTTAAATAATTATTATTAATTACTAATTATATAACATATTAATTAATAATTAATAAATAGATATGATTAATAACTAATAAATAGAAAGTAATTACTTAATTATTAATTTATTATTATTAAATATGTGATTTATTAATAAAATAATAAATAATAAATAGTAATTAATTATTTAGTTAAAGATTAACCGTCAAATATTGATTATATAATATATTAATAATAGATTGTTAAATAAATAACTAATTATTAATTTATAATCATATATTATATCAATTATAGTTGATTAATTAGTAAATGGTTGATAAATAAAAAAAACAATAAGCACTCAATTAATAGTTAATATTAAATTATAATTATTAATTATGTAATGTACTAATCAATAGTATTTAATAATTGATAATAAGTAATTAATAATTATTTAAATAATAATTACTATTATTTAATTAGTAAATAGAATATTAATAAATTATTTATATACTAATTATTTATTATTTATATACTAATTAATTATATACATAGTTTAATTATTAATGTACTCATTAATGATAATATCCATTATTAATATATTAATTTTTATTTGTTAAGTGATTATTAATTATTTAATATATTAATTTAAGATTTTTAATTACATGTACTCAAAATAAAATTTCATAAATATAACGAAACATGATTTCACATTTTTATTATACTCAAAATAATCTCTTAAAAAACCAACTAAATATAATTTTAAAATCGGCCCTGAATGATTTTTAAAACAATCTCATTTTCACTTTTGTAGTGAAAACAAAATTATTTTGAAAACATTACCGAACGGGCCCTTTGTTTTCTTCTTTTCTTTTCTTTTTGAGATAGATTTGACTAATTAATTATATGATAGATTTGACTAATTAATTATATGATGGTACTCTACTAGATTCCAAGGAAAACAAAGAAATTACTAAAAACAAAATAAAATATACGGCATGCATATCTCATAATAACATTGAATATCGTTACGTGCACTCGTAAAACTTTGCACTATTTTGGATAATAATAAAAAAACTTTGTACTATGACCTAATCATACTACGTACTATGGTCCACAAATCATTTAATCACACTATTTAGTCAGAGATTAACTGTATGACGTTTTAAGAGTTAGGGGCCAAAATGAGATTCAAAATAAACCTCAAAAACCATTCATGAGATTAACCATATTTTAAATAATTAAGTGAGGGTTAAGGCGTTTAATACTTTAATTAAAGAAATATTGTTGCCTAGATTAGATAATGTATCCTACAATATATAATTTAGTTAGGACAAAAAAAGAAAACGTAAAACGTTCATCCAGCAGTACGAAGTTGTCCCTTGGAATTGCTCCAATTTCTTGTAAATAATGATTAAATTTAAACATATATGAAACACTTGTTTAATCTAGCGAACAAATATGATTATTTTATATGGATCATAATTATATTTTATATCAAATATAATTGTGTTATTATTTAATTATATTATGGTTACCTTTCTTAAGTGCTTCTACTCTTAAATGAATTTTTGAATCCGCTGAATCCACGACTGATGTGGGGAGATTTGAATATTACTATTCTTTATATATATATATATATATATTTATATATATATATTCTTATCGTTGGTTCTAGCTTAGAAATTTAGTTTAATTTTGTTATTAGTATGTCATTTATCTTACTTGTCATTTTGTTGTCGTTTATCTTAGTAGATATTTTATAATTGTTTTATAAGTGGACTATATAATAGCCATTTATCTATTGTATTAGGAAGACTTCAATATTTTGATAATTAAATTAGAGTTGAATTTCCTCTCCAATTTAGAGGTTTTCTCGTTTGTGGGTTTCTTTTAGGTAGATTTGGAAATCTTCTGTCTAGATTAAGCCGGTAAAACATCATTCTATTCATTTCGTGCATCAACGACCACATGGAACATAACCCTTCTTTCTTTCTTTGCTTTTTTTTTTTTATAGGAATTTCTTTCTTCGTTTTTGTTTCTTTGTTTCTTTGTTTTTTTATTTTATTTTTTTGGTTGAAAAGACAACCACCCAAGTCACTGCATGCACCATTCTCCCAGGTGGAACCTTCAAAGCGAGATGTGGTGGTTATTCGTCTTCATATATTTATATTGTATATATTACACACACATGACACAAATGATAAAGAAATTTACATCTCTTTATGCTTTATTATTTTTTCTTTTTGTTAATTATATGATGAGAAGAACTAAAACATTGACATATTCTTGCCGGCGTCCCACTTTTCTCCTTCTCAAAGCAAAGGACACCCACTAAGTTTTTAGTGTATAATACACATGGTATATCATTATCAATACTTAATTCAAATACTCTCTTCTTTATATATTTAATGTAATTATTTATAATTTCGACTTTCTTATTCTTCTTCCTCTATTTTTTTAAATAATTACTTTCTTCTTCTTCTTCTTCTTTATTTGGGAAGAAACCTGCACGTTTAAACGTGGTTTTGTAGCCGTTGCACCTATCCGATTCTTCCAGAACGCGAAAAGTAAAATATATATTATATATATACATATATATATACATATATATATATATATATATATATATAAAAGGGAACAAATGCATTCCCCCCATCATCCTTTAGAAAGCCAATAAACAATCAACCGTGGAGAGTTAATTAGGTTGTTTACCACTTTTAAGAACAACTTAATTGTTTTTATCACTTAATATTTATAATTCATTTCATACATCTCACTTTTACTTGAGACCCTTTTACTCTTAGGTGATAAATCACAGTTTATCAGTTATTAACCCCAATTTACTAATGATTAACCCTAATTTATCAATGATTAACCCCCGTTTATTAATGATTAACCCCTAATTTAATTAGTAATTAATTAACTCGAGTTTATCGGTGATTTATTATATTTGGTTTGAGGTCAACTTTGTCTTTTTAACTTTTAAAAGCGGTATGTTTCAAATTTCCTCATAGAAGTAGTTTAATTGAAAAAAAATCAGGTTTTTTTTACCTATAGAAAAAAATCAAAAGAATTCGCCTAATATTAATTAGGTTTTTTTTTTTTTTTTCATTCACTTTCAACATTTGCTTTTGTGAAAAAAGTCAACATATATTTATGTATTAATAAAATTAAAACGATAATTTGCACGAAAACTTTGGAACTTTTTGTTATTTATAAGTTGGTCAACTTTTAACTTTGACATTTAAGACTCTAAATGATATTATATATATAAATATATATATATATATATAATAGCATATATAAGTAGAAATAATTTGAAGAGTATCTTTATACTTTTACAACTATATTTAAGTACTTTTGTTAATTATATTAAGACTATTATGATTCTTAATTCAGGATTATCATTGCTTTAGGAACTAGATTTATTTTCAAATTAGAAAATATTATATTTGTTTTAGGATTTTTCTCCCATAAATAGAACGCTTAAAAGTCCTAAATAGACCACTTTAGGTTAATGTTATTTTAAGATTGGTTAATAAAAAGATCATTTTCATAGTTACCTCCCAAAGTATTTACCTTATTTTAATGTGTCTCTAATTTTTCAAAATAGTCTAAAACACTCCCTGAAAACGTGTAGGATAGGCCAATTAAAACTATTAAATTCTAATTTAACATATAAAAACGATTAAATCTTCAATAACAGCCAAAAAAACTGCAGAAAAGAATATACTCTCTCCCATCCCCATCCTCCTCTCTCTCTCGTAACAACCCATATTTTTTATTTTTTATTTTTTATTTTTTACTCATTACTAAACACTTTAAGGACATTTGATTTAGTTAATAGTTAAAAACAAGTTAATTACCAAAGTGGTCCTAGCAATGAAATCCACATTTGATGTTGCAATACATAAGAAAGCTAGGCTCTTGGTAGGTCTATATATATATATATATATATATATTAGTATATACGACTACATGCATATAATTGGCTCCCAATTACTTTTCACAATGGATTTCTTGAGTTGTCAATGGGACCCGTTTGGGATCTGAACCGGAAACAAACTGATCCTGTCGGACCATGCATTTAGCTCATTGGGATCAATATGAGAAATGCATTTCCAAACCGCACTATTGCACTTGAAACCACTCCCAAAAGCAATTTGCCAAACGCGGTCTCCTTTCTTCATTTTTCCCTTTGCCTCCAAATAGCACAGCTCATACCATACTGAAGAGGAAGAAGTATTACCAAATCTATACAATGTCATTCTTGAAGCCTCTCCATCTTCCTTCTCCAACTTTAGATTCTCTTCAAGACCATCAATCACACCCCTTCCTCCTGCATGTATGCAAAAGTGCTCAAAGGCCTTCTTGAAATTAGGAACGAAAAGCCCCCCGCCGCGGCGCCCCGGCGGAGGCCTAATTCTCCGCCGAACCGTCATCCACGCGTAGCGGAGTTGCTCGGAGTACGGTAGCACCAAAGGGCCTAACTTGGACACGTTGATTTTTAGGGCTTTGCTGGCGACATGAAGAAGTGATCTTGAGATTGACACCCCAACTTTACCGTCATCATCTTCGTCTTGGAAAACGGATTGGTAAGCTTGATCATCTGATCCGGTGTGCGTTCTGACGAGGTGTCGGAGCTCATATTTCGCCGTCGACTTGTCCGTCTTTCGGTTCGATAAGAGGATAGCCGCTCCGCCCATTCGGAACAGGACATTGGCGATCAACATGGATTTCTCTTTGCCTGTATAACCATTGGGAGACACAGCTTCCATGCTGAGAACCAAAGCTAAGGAGTTCTTGTGAACTCTTAGCAAATCTTTCGCCAAACTTATCGCCAAGATCCCGGCACTGCAGCCCATTCCGCCGAGGCTGACACTCCTCACGTCGCTTCTGAATCCGAACCTGTTTATGATCATCGAAGAAATCGACGGCGTAGGGCAAAAGAGGCTGCAGTTTGTGACGAGAATGTCAATGGTTTTCGGGTTTATGTTTCGTTTGGAGAGGAGGTCTTCAACGATGGTGAAGAGAACTTGTTCGATCTCGGCGTTTGCGACGTGGAAAGAATCGCCAGGAGGCATTTCATGGACTGAAATAGGCATGCAAGCCTCGCTTCCAATGCCTGATCTCCATAAGACCTTCTCTTGGAAGTCCAAGCTCTCTTGGTCAAAGACATCGGCGGCTTCCGAGTGTTCGATGAAGTGAGATTCGGGGACGCGAAGGGAATCAGGCGGCCGGTAGCAGGCGAAATCGACGAGGTAAACGGGCACGGGTTTGATCCACAAATAGATCAGAAGAACAACGATGATCAAAGTAGGTGTTACAATGGTGATATGAGGGTTCGAGAGAGAGAAACATCTGAGTAATAAGTTGCTAATTATGATGTTCTCCATATATAATCGAAGAGTGTTGGAAATAGCTAATTGTTAATGGTGAATTACTAGGACTTTGTAGGTATAATTTTGCATCCCTATATAAAAGAGGAAGAGTTTGACAAGGTTTTGCAAGTAAAACAGGAGTTTGTAACTGTCATTGCAGGAGTGTTGTGATCTTGTTATATCACGTCATGCATGCATGTATACACGGTGCAACTGTATAACTAATTTTGCTGATAAATGAAGTTACGTACTCCGGGGAGAAATATATTCAGATGAATCGATTGATCGAAGAGTTGTAATTTGTCAATATCATATCATATGTTTAAGAGCCAAAATAAAAATAAATAAAATTTGTTTAGGCGAATATCTTCTAAAACAGCCCGTTTAATTCGCTGATTCAAGTTTTTAATTTAAGGAGTTGTTTAGTTGAGAGATTCGTATCCCGATTTAAATCATGATTCGTGGTTCGTTATAGTATTTTCTCTCACAAAAATACACGTAAATTAAAAATTATTCTAATCTTATGATTCTAATCCATGAACCAAACGTCTCCTAAGTTAAGATGTGACTTTATGTGAGAGCTTTTTACTATAGTGAAAAAATTAGATGTGACTATTTTTAAAAAAATTTTACTATAGTAAAACTCAAATCGTTAAAATGAACAGGACCTTTGTTTTCTTCCGCAGAGTATATATGTAACTGTCCCGGGAAATCACATTATTTCAGGACTCCCTGTAGTTTCTGAAATGTCCCACAATTTCCACTAGAATTCTAGATTGCGGCGGTTGATTTGTCATGAGCATTGCATGCATGTACAGATAACAACGTCTATTCTATTTTCAGAGCTACAAATACATAATAATAATAATGACGACGACGATGATACGTACCAAACAACAACAACAGTAGTAATAATAATTATTATTATAATAATAACGTAAAAGTAAAGTGAAAGTAAAAGTAGAAGTTTGTAAGATGCAACTTTCTGATATAAGGGGGAAAAAAAGTTTACATAAAATGTGTCCGAATGTTACAAGTAGTCAGGTACCGAGTAAGCAAAATAACATGGTACACCATGTTCACTTAATAATTTTTCTGCCGAACTTTATAATCTTTAGACTATCTCCAATACAAATTCTTTGTCAAGTGTATATTTGACATACAAAAATATAATATAATATGTTATTTTCATATTTACTTCAATGCATAATGCTATTTAAAATGCTAAAATTTACTTTTTCTATAAGCATTAAGCTTTGAAAATTATAAAAGTAATCTTTTGATGTTAAAATAATTTGAAAAAATAAAAGTTGTATTGATTAAATTAAAAAGTAGCCATACCAACTAATAAGACTCAAATGTCAAATTTACCGTATGTTATACTTGATGAGAAATTTATTACAGAGTATAGCATTTAGTAAATTTGTCACAACAATAGCATTGCATTAAAGAGTATTTTTTACACTAAAAAATTAAATTTATAATTAGCACATGCAGATATTGCATTGGAGATACAAGGTAGGAAATTATACTTTTATTATGTAGGTGTCGATGAAGTGGTTTGAACCCAGACCTTGTGGTAGCAAAACCAAAAGCCTGACCATTCCAACACCCCACGGCTAAAAAGTAAGCTTTTACTGAAGTCAAACTGCATCAACAGTGTATTCTTGCGTATGTTTGATATCCCATTTTTATTTCTTTTTTTTTTTTTTTTTTGAGTGAATATACATGAATGAAAATATTATTTTATTGACATCAAATTATGTTTGTGATTGTTTAACAACTACAAAAAAAGAAAAAAAAAAAAAAAGGACAACAAACGAACTATGTTTGTGATTCCATAGTTGATACAGTAGTGTACGATACCTCTTCCGTGTACTCATTTTCTTTAACCTTAGTCCAAGAAATCTTCCATATCTCGAGTAAACTTTGCCTGCATTAAAGGGGTCACAGCTTATGCATGAGAAAGTGGACGAGAGAGAGAGAGAGAGAGAGAGAGAATTTAACAATGTACACACTCGAAATCGAGATATGAAAATGCACAGGAACAGCAATTTGAAACGACAACCATGCAAGGTGCACAAATTTTTGTTCTATAAAATGCGGAAAAATATAGAGTCCAGGGAAAAAACCATCGTCTAAAAACACAATACAATTGGGATAGCTAGTATTAGCAGAAACGCCTTTGACTCTGTGAATTGTTAGACAGATACCAACTCAAGCAATAAGCCTATTCAAAAACCATGAAATATAAAAGGGGCATCATGTCAGACTCGGATACACACCGAAAAATGAAATCCAACATTTAAGTATGACCTATAAACCAAAACCAGTAAAAGGAAGCAACAATCATTATGAGGCCCATCTTAGTCTTCCATTAAATTTACAACCTGAAGCATGTTTACAAAAAGTTTTCAGCTTAGGCTTCTTCCACTAAATAATAAATGCACGCCGATTAACCCACTCAACCCAACCCATTATAACTCGAACCCGACTAACCCGATCAAGAGATCAACCCAAACCACCCAACCCGACTATTAATTGGGTGGGTTTGGGTTGAGTTTTTCTTAGACCAACTTAACCCAAACCCACCCAAACTATTTATATATATAAATAAATATTTTCCTACCTTATAATATATAGTATTTGTCTTGTGTTTTACATCATTTACTTGACAATCTATTATGTTTTATGTTATATGAGTTTTATTATTGTTTGTTTGTTGGTTTACAAGTTATATATTTAAACTTATTTTGTATATATTTTATTTTCATATTAGGTTATAACTTATTAGATAATTTTAGAGCCTTATAAGACTAATTTTATGATGTAAGTTAGCTTTCTTTTTATATATTTCTTATTTAGAGTTCAATGATTAGTTTTATTTTTTTTTTCATTTTTTATTTTTTTATTATGTTTAATCAACCCACCCAAATTTTAATTGGGTGGGTTGATTTTAAACTTTGAGTTGATTGGGTGGATTAAATTTGAAATCAACCCACCCAAACTTGATTGGGTGGGGTGAAAAATCTCAAAAACCCACCCAACCTACCCTGATGTTCACCCCTAGTGGTCAATTTGCTTAACCTAGTAAGCTTATGAAGCTCAACAGCATAAAACTAGTAACTAACAAATCATATCTACCATGTTCGATACCTATCATTATTCCAAATAAGTACATAAGTGCAGAAAAACACATTTTCAGAAGTTTTAAGCGAGGAGGATAGACAAGATACACTTGTTTAGAGAGCAAAAAGGTCCTGACAGAGAGTTTAGGTTGGTCAATTACAAGAGAGAGCTGAACAAGTAAAATTCTTCCAAAAACAAATACATTTCCGATTCTAAGCAACGTGAAGGTTTATTAAATTCATAAGAAAAAGACAGGAGAGGTAGGACTATCAATGAAGTTTTGTAAATCTTAAAAATAATATATATTAAAACATATATTACAAACAAGAAAAGATGTAAAATAATAAAATACGAGAGATGTGTTTCTTCCGGAAAAGTAGGTATGTGAAAGGAATTTTTCTATGATTTGATTCCTTGAAGAAATTGCACCAAAGTTGACAAGATAGAACACTGGGAATATAAATGAAACTAAATCCAAAAGAAAAAAGTATCAATGAAAATAGTAAAATACTGAGAGTGTATCCCCGACAGCAACACTTACCTATTTGTTTGAACAGTCCTCTTTGCCAGCATGAGCGTCAGGAAAACAGGAACCATTGCCGCACATAAATGCTTGAGTGTATGCCCGCTTACAATGTGATGTGTCCAACCATAAATCACCTTATCAGCAGCTTCTTCCACCTTGGCTAAAAGATAAAATCCTGCAATTTATAGCAAAAATTATGCAATCTACGTGGCAAAAAAGCAAATGAAATCTCAGAACAGAATAGAGGAAGCCATATCATGAGAAACACAAACCTGCAGCCCAGAGCCAGTATGTTGAGTGTGTGTACATTGGAGGCAACAAAATAGCCATCACGGGAATGACAATGCAGGGAACAAACTGGACCAAAGCATATGGTCGGAGATCATCAAAAAACCTTGAAGAAAAATGTGAAACGGCAATAAGACTAATATTAGAGATAATATAGAATCGAAAAAGCTCTAAGCTGTTCATTCTTTTGCATTTGCATTAGCTGTTTCAGAAGCAAAGTGAGGATACTATGCTTTAATTGCGACTTTAGATAAAATAGACATTCTAACATCAGGTAGAATTGTCAAAAAAGTAAAGATGGAACAATAACAAATACACTTCCACACTCCAACTCTGGTTTTACCAACACACCATCACTTAAATAGCTCTTCATATTATTTACATTTACCTCTCTAAAACTCCTTTTGTACTAGAACCGAAGTTCTTCACTGAGTATTCAAGTTTTTCAATGAGGAAGGTAAGAGCTTAAACTCGTATGAAATACCAAGTTTGATTAAAAATACATGATATGACAAGGATAAGTATACTCTAATCAATTGAGGAGAAAAAAAAAACATGATATGACAATGATAAGTATACTCTTATCAATTGAGGAGAAAAAAAAAACATGATATGACAAGGATAAGTATACTCTTATTAATTGAGGAGAAAGAAAAAAAAAAAAAAAAAAGAGAAAGAGAAAGAAAGAAAGAGAGAGAGATAAGTTTGGTGCTTGCCTCCAATACAATATACTAACTAGACCCGCCAAAAGTAGAGGAATGATAGATATTGTTCCCCTTCGCTCATCAATTCTTTCAATGATAAAGATTGCCATGATTGAGGTGAATGCAATAGTCATCTAATTTTATCAAAAAGCGCTTTGTGTCAAAATTAGAACAGCATTTTGATGACAGCATTATAATTTGAAACGGAAAGAAAAAAAAAAGAAAAAACAGAGTAAATTCACCGGTAGGCGATCCCACACAAGACGAGCATCATTTGGCTTCAAATGGTAGTATGAAGATCCGAAAGCAACAGCGGCAACACCTATGTAAAAACATGTCCAGCCCCAAAGCTCGCCTTGCAAGCTTGTCATTTACATTGAAGCATTAATCATTATCAGTGGTCATACAACAAAATTAAAAATAAAATGAAAGTATAATAGATTGGATCTTTCAGTTAGATGGGCACAATAAAACAGTACACTACCTTAGCCTAAAATAATTCCCATAATAGCAAAGCACCAGCCCAATTACACCAATAACAAGGAACGGGAAATTTGAAACCACGTTAAGCATATTAGGAATTCCTGGGGTACAATAAAGGATTCCATCAATTTCAACAAGGCAGTAGATAAGGAAAAGTTTTGAATATTACTAAAGCCAAAAGAATGGCCCAAAAAAAAAAAGTCATATATGGCACGACGGCAGTAACCTACATCATGTAAATGTAACAGAAATTGCAAATTGAAAAAAAAAAAAAAAAAAAATTACATGCACTAACAGAGTTCTTTACCCAACTGTGCCAAATCCAAAGAGAACCCACTGAATTATTGGAGAACTCACTGTAACAAACATCTGATATTTTCTAAGCAACAATTTAATGAACACGTATACCAAATTTTAACAGAAAGACAGAGGTTATTAGAGGTGAAAAAGAACATTTGTTCGAAGTATTACACACACACACACACACACACTGACACACATAACTAAATCACACAGTTCAAAGTAGTACTTCAAGTAAGTTTTTTATTCCTGAATAACTGCATTGAGAGAAATTAGCAATCACCCAACGACTAAAAGAAATTCTTATACTCGAATTGAAAAGGACCAACAACTAGAAAATGCACATAACAACCACACCAGATGATGTATTGCGAGGTCATATGCACACAACGATAAGCAACATTAAAGTTTCATAAACAAAAATAATGAGTACAGAACCGAAAAGGAAAAAGATGCCCTCATGAACCTACATAAAGACTGCACAAGCAGTAAAAAGCAAAATAAAAATAGGTAATTGCAGCCCAACAAAACTAGATTTAAAGGGACATCTAAACTCTTTTATTGAAACGTAATTCCATCGCAAAAAGCTCTATATCATCATGTCTCATGCACTTAAATTGTTGCAAACACTGAGAGCAATTACCCCCGATATCTACAAAGGAGCCTATATCTATACTCCAGTAATAGTTCAGAATAGATAAATCAAGGATAATAGTTTCAGTATCCCTCTTACGCATTACGCAGTAGGAAGGAGATAACAACATAAGGGGTTACCTCCTTTGAGAATTGAGACACATCAGAAGTATTAACTTTAAATGCGTGTGATTTAAGCATGAAATGAGCAAAGTGTACTGGAGTTTTCCGATATGGATGAAGATTTGCAAAGTTGTGTTAATTTGTAAACTTCAGCCGAAAATGCCTACGGAATCACAGATACAACCATCAATTTAGATTCCAAGTTGCAACCTAATTCATGACTTTTCTACAGGAACGGATCAAAAAGCACTGAACCCTAAATTCAAGTGAAATTTCTACAACTTCTAAGATTAGATATAAACCTAATGGTCTAAGTCTATCTAGCTAACGTTTTAGCCAATTCGACCCCAGTGCAATCTTCTCCATACAAGTTCAAATTTTGGTTGTGCTAATTGAATTCAATTTCATCCAACATTCACCAAAACAAAATGCCACTTGTCATAAAAAGAAAACAAAAATTCCTTCTCAGAACTGAAAATAACAATAATAATAATAATAAAAAATCGAACCGTTTCTCCAAGATCATCAAACACATTGAACCACTTGCAGATATTCATTATAATCATTGACTTCAACTTGAGTTTCAACAACCTTACATTAAGGACTTCAATTTTCACGCCAAATTAAAAAGAAAGAAAACCCACTCCTGTGCAATCCCTAGAAAATATATATGCAAGTGTGTGTGTGTGTGTGTATATATATATATATATAGAGAGAGAGAGAGAGAGAGAAGATTGACCAAAGAAGGTGCGCTGATCGGCGAAATCGTGGTAGGCCTGAGACTGGGGAATGGCTGGAGTGACGATCATCAGCACTACGAAGCATACGATGGCAACTCCCCATGCCCAAATCGTCCTCTTCCTCATTTTCTCAATTCAATGCACAACTTCCCCCAACTTCTTCACTTCCTCCTCCTACTTTCTCATTTATACGATAATTATTTTTGGGGCTCAAATCTGCTCACCAATTTTGGTGTTTTAATTGGTTAAACACCAATTAAATCATAACACGTTATATAAAAATTTAAGTTATTTTTTAATTACTTTTTTTATTTATTATAAAATAAAATAATTTAATTTAATTAGTTAAACACTAATAAAATATTAAAAATTAAACAGCGATCTAATTTTTTAGTTGATTGAAATTAAACAAAAAAGAAAAAAAAATAAGGATGCCTGTAGATTGGATTCTTTGCTGGTTGTTTTGCATGATACTTTCCTTCTTTTATTTTACGAGTTTGATAAATTAATCATTTAATTTTTTTAGCAATCCACTTTTTAAATTTTATAATTTATTACAATATTAGTTAAATTAAAAATAAAATTAAAAATTGAGACGATATCTTCAAAATGAGTCTTTAATAAGTGTAATTATATTTGTTTATATCGAATTACTCCTTATATACGCATCACGAGTATTTTTTTCTAAATTAAAAGTTAACTGTTTTGGGAGAAAAATCATTATGGGTCACAAGATTTATTTTTTCTAAACACTCACGTTGAGAATGCCATCTAAATTTTTAACTTTGTTTTCAAATTGACCGATATTACAATAAATTTCAAAGTTTAAAGGGTGAATCATCAAGAAAAAAAGTTAATTGACTAATTTGCCAAATTCGTAAAGTTTAAGGGGTGTAAATGCATAAAAACCTGTCTTTGCTTCTTTTTTCTTTTTTTTTTGTTTTGTTTTTGAAACTGTAGTAAATAGTATTTTTTTTGAAATTAAATTAAGTAAATAGTATATTTTAAAACTATTTATAGTAAATAGTAATTACGTGGTAAATAAATTATTTATACAGTAAAGGAATTATTATTTACAATTGGTAAAAAAATAGCTTATGTAGTAAAAAATTTTAAATTTCAAAAATAACTTAAGTGGTAAAAAAATTTTATTTACGTGAAAAAATTTTTGCGTTTCATTTATGTGAAAATATTTTTAATAGTTGTAAATAAACTATTTACTTAGTAAATAATTCATTCACTGCGTAAAGTGTTCTTTACTTCAAATCATTTTAAAATCTATTATTTATTTAATTTAATTTTATAAATATGTTATTTACTATGTTCTTTTTTTTAAGAAATCAATTTGATATCCCTTATGTCTTTTAGAAAAAAGTATTAAACCCGTATTTTTAATAAATATAAAACAATATTTTAATGTTTTAAAAAATATGAGAGACACTTTGGTGTAAGTTGTTTTTTTATATAAAATGTTTTACTTATCCTTTTCTCCTCTTTTATTTTAATGGTCATGCAACTAGAAATCATAATAAAAATATAAATAAATGTTATCTTCATGTACAAAATTATAAATATCAATAAATTAAAATTAAAATTGCTCATAGATTGAAATCTTTTCTTTTCTTTGAAAAAAAAAATCAATTTGGTACTCTAGGTTGTAAAGCTGTAAGTTCAGGTCGCCCGATTCTATATAGTATGTGATTAACGGCTCGAACGATAAAATTAAATTGGGCTAAGCCAACCTGAGTTAAGAGAGAGTCAACCTAATCGGACGATAAAGGCCTTTGAATCTGGCTGACTCGAATATATACATATATAGATATATATTTTTGTAAAAACTCTTATAAATATGAGAAATTATAGAAAATAGACCAAGATTTAAAAGAGAACCAACTATAGAAATTAATAGGTCATTTTAAGTGTGTGTAGAGCAAAAATTTGTGTTATGATTCAGATTATAGTTCGTGACTCGTTATAATATTTTTTTTTTATAAAAAATACACATAAATTAAAAATAATTTTAAATAAGAATTCTAAATTTATGAAATAAACGTATTTTTTTATGTTTTTAATTTTTAATTTTCCAAAATTATCCTTTTTCTTCTTTTTTTTTTCTCTCGATCTATTCTATCTCTCTCTCTAGAACTTTCTCCCTCCAGACGTTGATCTCCTCTCCCTCTCATTAGGCGATCACCGACGCTCGTCGACGGAGAACGTGAACTCCGGTGAATGTCCTCGTCATTTCTCTTCCTACCTGTCTTTCTCTCTCCTCTCTCCTCTCTCCGTCAATCTCATCCATCTCTCTCTCTAATCGGAATGATCGGTGGTCGAGAACCCTCACGAACGCTGGCAACGCAGATTGATCTCCTTCCTCATTCTCGTTTTACCGTCCAAGAGAGACTGTTCGACAATCTCGTCAGAGATCACCGAGAAATCACAGCGGCGCGAGACGAGATCTTGTGGCTCGTCGGCGTTTTCTTGCGATGATGCCCAGATCTCCTCACGTGGCGTCGCGAGTGCGGAGCATGAAGGGGATCTCTCCTCGCGAGGCCGGAACCGCGAAGTGCAATTCATTGCGACACCGGAATCGTCAACGGGAGCTCGTCACGACGCCGGAAAAAGTGAAGGGATCTCCTCCGGCGAGTGATCTTTGCCGTTGTCGGCCTCCAGAGAGTGACGTGCTGTTAGACGGTTCTGAAGAGAGAGAGAGAAGAGGGAGGAAAAGAGACGTAACGAGGAGAGAGACGAGAGAAGGGAGAGAATTTTGGATTTTTTTTTTTGGAAGAATCTAGTGATGGAACTTTGGACGGGCCGCCCGCGACCGCCCGAAAAGTCCGAGGATTTGCCCGAGCCCGAACCCAATCCGCTCGAGATTTTCGGGCCGCCCGCCCGAGCCCGAATTTCACCTTGAACGGGCCGCGGGCTTGTATTCGGCGGCCCGAGCCCGTCCGAATTGCCCGAATTTTTTAAACTTTTTTTTAATATTAAGTTATTTATATATATATTACAATTTGAAATGAACACACGAACTCGGGTTTTCGGACAAAATTTGAGTAAAAATTCAAAAAATAGCCATTTTTGGGTTTTCGGGCAATTCGGGCAACTCGGGTTTTCGGGCAAAATTCAAAAAACTAGCCGTTTTCGGGTATTCGGGCAATTCGGGCACCTCGGGCGGGTCGGGCAATTCGGGCAGGCGGGAAAAATTCGGGCAAAATTCAAAAAAATTCAAAAATTCAGGCTTCGGGTCGGGCAATTCGGGCACACCCAATTTTCGGGCAATTTTCGGGTCAGGCAGTTCGGGCTTGGTCGGAAAAATTCAAAAAAATCCCGGCGGACGGCGGTATACGGTGGTTAGACGGCGGCGGGCAAGGGTAGACATGTCAAATTCGGGCTGCCCGAGCCCGAACCCGAATTTCTTGCTTGGGCGGGCAGGAATTGGGCCGGCCCGCCCGAGCCTGAAAAAATTCGGGCTTCGGGCGGCCCGCCGACCCGAAGTTCCAGCACTAGAAGAATCCAGTAGTTATTGCATATTAGTATTCTAGTTTTAATGTGAGGGCATTTTCGGATTTTTAGTTGAGTGTAAATCCACATTTACATTAAGATGGTTTATTTTTGTTGATTTGAGTTGAGATGTGATTTTATGTGAGAATTTTTTATTGTAGTAAAAAAATTAATTATGATTATTTTTGAGAGTTTTTTTTATAGTAAAACTCAAATTTTAAATTCAAATTATTAAAATGAACGGGTCTTACTAACTTCTTATTTAAAAGTCTTAAATTTTGATTCCCCTATCAAATTGGCATACTTTCCTCTTTCTCTCTATAAAAATAGATTATCGATAGTCTTCTATTTTTCAACCGTCAATTTTGTATTAAAATATATCTGTTATGCATACTTTTTTATGATATTATTTTAATCAAATTTAATGATTAAAAGACCACCGGTAGGTTGGCCTATCGAAGAAGGTCCATGTTATTGTTGTTGTTAATTTTTTTTTTTTTTTAAATAGTTGTTGTTGTTACTTTTTATTTAGGGTTATTGACACAAATGATCCTTAATTTATTTAATAAATGAAGTTTAGTTCTTAATATTTTTTTTGATAAATTAACCCCTAACTGTTTTAAATAGGTGTAATCAAATTGTATCTATTTTAAACTGTTGTGGGTCAATTTGTTAAAAAAAATGTTGAGAGATTAAACTGTCATTAACTAAATATGTTGAGGATTATTTGTGTCAATAACTCTTTTATTTATTTGTATATACACATATATTTTAACCCGAAACATTACAGAGAAGAGAGCCTTAAATTGCGGTTACTTATCGCGGATTTAAATTTAAAATTTTAATTTGAGTTGAGATATATTATTTTTAATTTTAAAAGCTTAAAACTGAAAACTCGGTTAAATTAAGGAATCCCTTTGTCCCCACAACCGCAACACTCGCGGTTCGTCTCCCTTAAGGCTTAAATACAAAGCAAACGCAAACTTCACTTGCCCAGTTGCCAAACCCCCCAAAAAAACCCTCGCAGCGCACACACCACGGCCATCTCAATTCCTAGAGAGAGAGAGAGAGAGAGAGAGAGAGGGAAGAGAGAGAAATGGCGCAATCGCTGGAGCTTCTGCTGATACAGTTCCTGATGCCGGACAACGACGCGCGGCGGCAGGCGGAGGAGCAGATAAAGCGGCTGGCAAAGGATCCGCAGGTGGTGCCGGCGCTCGTCCAGCACCTCCGCACCGCCAAGACCCCCAACGTCCGCCAGCTCGCCGCCGTACTCCTCCGCAAGAAGATCACCGGCCACTGGGCCAAGCTCTCTCCTCAGCTCAAGCTCCTCGTCAAGCAGTCCCTTATCGAGAGCATCACCATGGAGCACAGGTCAATTATTCAAATCTTAATGCTTTTTTGGTTCTCTTTTGTTTTCTGTTTGGTTGCTCGGGAAAAAAAAAGTTGAGAAATTTCAGGTTTTGGAAATCTAGAACCGTGTATTATGAGTTTGTTAATTCTGCTTTTGCGGTGTAATTTCTCATTTCTTCTGCTACGAATTTGAGTTCGCTCATTTTTTTTTCCTTTGGAAATTGACGCAATGATCGCGTATAATTTTTGTTTTCAGTCCGCCAGTAAGAAGAGCGAGTGCAAATGTAGTTAGTATTGTTGCAAAATATGCCGTTCCAGCAGGAGAGTGGCCTGATTTGTTGCCATTTCTCTTTCAATGTAGTCAGAGTGCTCAAGAAGACCATAGAGAAGTAAGTTCATGCCATTTGACAATCCATTCTCATTAACTATGCGTATGATAGTTTTATTGTTTCAAATTGAGCCGTCACTAACGACCTTCTGCCCCCATAAAAACTGTTGGATTCCATGTATGCACATGGTCTGTATTTCTTGTTAAAAATTTATTAATGCCTCTGGTTATAGGTTTAATTGAACGAGGATAGTTTTGAGACTTCTAACTTTAAATTAAATAGACGAGTGAAGGCGGTCCCTCCAACCTTCGGTTCACCATCTAAAGCTGATTCTCATCTTCTCGTTTCGAACTTTGTTTAATGTAGCTCTGTTTCTTTTGTTTGTTTTCTTACCCGCGAAATGTCCTAACATCTATGGTTGTTTTGTTTGGATGATAAAGGTGGCATTGATTCTTTTCAGTTCTTTAACGGAAACAATTGGGAATACATTTCGCCCACATTTCGCAGATTTGCAAGCTCTTCTTCTCAAGTGTCTGCAAGATGAGACTAGCAACCGTGTCAGAGTTGCTGCTCTAAAGTAATCTTCTTTTTATTATCATTTCATTTATTTTTGTTTTCTACTTTTCCTTTTAATATTTTGTTCGGTGCTTGAAGGCCCTGCTGATCCTAAGTGATATAGAAAGAATTTTCTTTATCGATGGTGATCATTCATGGTATCCATAGCAATGCTTCTTTCTCGGCCAAATCCTAATGTCTTTTTTACTTTTCCTGGTCTCGAGTCTGATTGACTCGACTTTTCTGTTGCTGATTAGTCATTAACATGTGAGACTACTTACTAAATCCTTTTGATTTTTATTCCAGGGCAGTTGGGTCATTTATAGAATTCACTCATGATGGTGATGAAGTGGTGAGTATTGGTGCGAGACCTGCCAATTAGTCTAAAAATACTATTTTAGATGTTTATATTATTTTTCTATTCAAGCAACATGTTATAATTTTTAGTAAAAAATTGCTCCTCGTGTGTATTCTGTTTCTACTTCTTGTATACTTGAGGTTAACTTGAAGCCCAATTTGAGTGCTGAAGATACGAAGCTTCACTTATGTTTATTGTAGTGGGTTTAATGAGAGCTAACAAATTATGACACAAAATGAAGAAGCAAGAAAATAGCTTATACAGGAGCATTAAGTCAGAAAAAGGATTAACTTTATTATGTAATAAAAGTATATGTAATAAAAGTCTTTGTGGGATTCTGGTCATCATCCAAAGGTCTATTCTTCAGTGTTGATAACATTTGGGTTCATGCAGGTCAAGTTTAGAGAATTTATTCCCAGCATTCTAAATGTATCCAGACAATGCCTTGCTGCTGGTGAGGAGGATGTTGCTGTAATCGCCTTTGAAATTTTTGACGAGCTCATTGAATCTCCTGCTCCTCTTCTTGGGGAATCTGTTAAATCCATTGTGCAGTTCTCTCTTGAAGTTAGCTCAAGTCAAAATTTCGAATCTAACACGCGTCATCAGGTTAGAGAAGGGGAAGAGACACTCACACACGCACACAAAAAGAAAAAACACCCACCCACACAGAGACACCTGTGCGTGTGTGTTTTATGGTGGGATACAATTTTACTGCACTTCATTTAAGGATTTTTTTATATCTTATCTTCTTCCCTTCTTTTCTCCAGGCAATTCAGATAATTTCTTGGCTTGCAAAATACAAATCTGCTTCCCTTAAAAAGCATAAACTAGTTGTCCCTATTCTGCAAGTTATGTGCCCTTTGCTTGCTGAATCAAATGATAGAGATGAAGATGATGACCTTGCCCCTGATCGAGCCGCTGCTGAAGTTATTGACACTATGGCTGTGAATGTACCAAAGCATGTTTTTTCACCTGTTTTGGAATTTTCTTCTTTAAGCAGTCAAAATGCAAATCCTAAATATCGTGAAGCTTCTGCTACAGCTTTAGGCGTCATTTCAGAGGGCTGTTCAGAATATATGAAAGATAAGCTTGAACAAGTACTTGATATTGTCTTAGGGGCTTTGAGAGACCCTGAACAAGTGGTAAGGGGTGCTGCGTCTTTTGCAATAGGTCAATTTGCTGAATACCTGCAGCCTGAAATTGTTTCTCATTATCAAAGTGTTCTACCATGCATTTTGAGTGCACTTGAAGATGCATCTGAGGAAGTGAAGGTAAGCATGTGAGAAAAAGATAAATGATGAGATCGTTACTGATTATCATGCATATGGTAAGAGTAATGATCAACCTTCTAATGCAGGAAAAGTCATACTATGCTTTGGCTGCATTTTGTGAGAATATGGGGGAGGAAATCCTTCCTTTTCTTGAACGTTTGATGGCGAAACTACTGGGAGCTCTCCAAAATAGTGCCCGTAATTTGCAGGAGACATGCATGGTATGAGGATGCTTCTTACTACCCCATCAGGTTTTGCTTGAATTCAAATGAATCGTTCTCTACCTGTTAATTTAGCTCTTTAATTTGTCATTGCAGTCTGCAATTGGTTCAGTTGCGGTTGCTGCAGAGCAGGCCTTCATTCCATATGCTGAAAGGGTTCTAGAATTGATGAAGGCTTTCTTGGTGCTTACTCGTGATGAGGATCTCCGTGCACGGGCAAGAGCTACTGAGCTAGTTGGCATAATTGCAATGTCTGTTGGGAGAACTGGGATGGAGCCAATTCTACCCCAGTTCATGGAAGCTGCAATTTCTGTTAGTGACGTTGGCATTTCTAGTGACTGATGGGCATATAACATTCTATTCACTAACTGATTTACATATTTGGTTCTTCCAGGGTTTTGGATTGGAGTTTAGTGAGCTTCGCGAGTACACTCATGGATTCTTTAGCAATGTAGCAGAAATATTAGATGATGGTTTTATACAGGTTAAAGAGCTGTCTTTCTAATTGAGTCAAGCGTCTATGTGTTTCTTAGTGCCCGTATTTACCTTCAACATTATTTTCTCAAACAGTATCTTCCTCATGTTGTCCCTCTGGTATTTTCTTCGTGCAATCTTGATGATGGCTCTGCAGTGGATATTGATGAGTCTGATGATGAGAATGTTAATAATTTTGGCGGAGTTTCATCTGATGACGAAGCTCATGATGAACCAAGAGTCCGTAATATTAGTATAAGAACAGGAGTTTTGGATGAGAAGGCAGCTGCAACTCAAGCTCTTGGGTTATTTGCGCTGCACACAAAGGGTTCTTATGCGCTGTATCCTTTACCGTATTTGACTTACTTTTGTAGTTGTATTCTACAAAACTAATGTATTTGGTGATGCTATTCTATATTTTGATTTCTTTGATTGCCTTTAAGCTATTTGGAGGAGTCATTCAAGATTTTGGTAAAGCACTCGGGGTATTTTCATGAAGATGTTCGGCTTCAGGCAATCATTGGTTTGAAACGTAAGTCGCACCATCTTTGCATGCTTGGTTATGTTTCACTTGGTGGTAGCTTATTTGTTTTTGTTCATGGGATCAATTTTGAAGTCTTCCATTTAATCCATAACAGAATGCAGTTCTAGTATGGTGCCCTTATTTTTCTAATCTTTTCAACTTATTTTTTGCTTTTCAATGTAAATTATGGAACTTCATAGTGTTAGTTGTTGGGGTGCCGATGTTTATTATTGTTAATTTTTGGTGGTCATTAGCTTGTTTAGAGGGTGTGTTATCCAAATATGCTAAAGCTATCACAACCCATTAATAATGCATGTCTTGGTTGATTGAAACAACAGATATTCTGACAGCTGCACGAGAAGTTTTTCAGAATCATAATGTGAGTAGTTCCTTTAACTAATTGGCAAGTGTGTTGTTTATTGGACTATTGCATGATACTGTATTTCCTGTCCAGGAAATGTTTGACTTACACTTTATAGTATGGTTATCTGCCCTTAAAGTTTTCTGGATCTTCAATTCCTGCCAAGTGTAGCTTAGTATGGTTTCAATGGTTACCCCAATATGTATCCATTTGTGGGTATCATTGTTTTAGCCACTGATATGAATCAGATGGTTGTAACAAATTGAATAGTTGACAAAAAAAAAAAAAATGACAATGAGCATTAAATTTAAAGACTCCATAATTATCTTTTTTAATTGATGCTTGAGGTTAAGTTGTTGATTTACTTGCTATAGCAAGTCATATAAATCAACACATCATCAAATGCAATTAAGGTGTATAATTATTTTTACAATTTGATTGATAACCGCTGATGGAATTTAACCATTGAAAACTCATTAACACACACACACCCACGCACGCAGTGTAATTATAAGACGTAGAAATCATTTTCAAGCTCCTTCTTTTGGGTTGGAAACCTAGGTGTAGGAGATATTTTTAGTTTCATGGTGCCTTTTGGGAGTCTCTTCAAGCCTTTTCATCTGTTCCTGGACTTTTGCTAGGTTAAGCTTGCTTTTTAATATTATCAACCTCTCTTTAATATGCAGGAAGGAGCAGCTAAGGCAAATGAAATGTTTGGTAAGATTATTTCCGAAATTAATTCAAACATAATCACATAGGAACTTATAAACTAATTCTGGTTCTATTTTGCAATTCCATTGAAGTTCTTTATTTTCTGCAGATACTGTGATGAATGTTTATATCAAGACTATGACTGAAGATGATGACAAGGAAGTTGTTGCTCAAGCTTGTACGAGCATAGCTGACATAATTAAGGATTATGGTTATGGCACTGTTGAACCTTGTATGTATGAATTTTGTTTGGCTTCACTGTGTCGCTTATTTCAGTAAATTTCCAAATTAAAATGAATTCAAAATATTCGGATTTCAGACATGCCTCAGCTTGTTGATGCTACTGTGTCACTGCTTCGTGAGGAATCCGCTTGTCAGCTAACAGAATCTGATGATGATATCGACGATGATGATACTGAACATGATGAAGTACTGATGGATGCTGTTTCTGACCTTCTTCCTGTATTTGCAAAGTCAATGGGTTCCCATTTTGCACCCATCTTTGCAAAGCTCTTTGAACCTTTAATGAAATTTGCGGTGGGTTGCATCAGATGCTTGAGTTTACTTAGTTATAATACCTCAGTACAGTGTCCTCTTATTTCTTAAACTTGACCATTGGTGATGCAGAAAGCTTCACGCCCTCCTCAAGACAGGACAATGGTGGTTGCTTGCCTTGCTGAAGTTGCTCAGAACATGGGAGCTCCCATTGCAGGCTACGTTGATGTAATTTTTCCTTTTTCTCCTTTTTTTTTTTCTTTTTCGTTTTTTGCTTATGTACAATGCTTTTAACACTTGTAGTTCCTGAATATTTTTTAAATGTTTCAGAGGGTCATGCCCTTGGTGCTCAAAGAACTGGCGTCATCAGATCCAACCAATAGGAGAAATGCTGCATTTTGTGTTGGGGAGTTGTGTAGAAATGGTGGTGATGGAACATTGAAGTATCCTATACAAAAACTTTTCGTTGTTCCTTTTCTGAAGTTTGAATTTTCTGTACCTGTCCTATCTATTATTGCTGTGTGCCCCGTTGATAAGGGATCCATGTCATGTGACAAGTCATCTTAAGAAGACTCTTACGCTAATCTTAAGAAGATAACCTTGTTATCTTAGCATTGGTATTTATTCTCTCTAGTGCTTAATTGTCATAGAATTTTCCTTCTAGAAGTTTTTTCGTTAACTGAGAACAGATATTATGATGGCATATTGCGTGGACTTTACCCATTGTTTGGAGAATCAGAGCCAGATGATGCTGTTAGGGATAATGCGGCTGGTGCAGTGGCAAGAATGATAATGGTTCACCCTGAATCCATCCCACTAAATCAGGTTAATCTTCTCATTCTTGCTAAACATCATTTAAAAAGAAGGAAAAAAAAAACTCGTAGGAAGTCTTAAATGACATCTTCCTTTTGTAATTAGTTTAGCTGGGTATTTATTTCTGTTGCTTTCCTCAGGTTCTTCCTGTTTTCTTGAAAGTTCTTCCACTGAAAGAAGATCACGAGGAGTCCATGGCAGTGTATACTTGTGTCTCCACTCTAGTGCTATCATCAAATTCGCAGGTATCTGAATAGTTTCATTGTTCATATGTGAAGCATGAACCGGCCTTCAGCCTGTACTTTCTCTTTTTATTGACTCTTTCATATGGATTGTATTCTTATCTTGGCTTTTCTGTTCTTTTGTATGCAAAACAGATCCTTTCTCTAGTACCTGAGTTGGTTAATGTATTTGCTCAAGTTGTGGCATCCCCGGTTGAAACTTCGGAGGTTAAAGCTCTAGTAGGCAGAGCTTTTTTGCACTTGATTTCACTCTATGGACAACAAATGCAGCCCCTTTTGAGCGGCCTCCCTGCCGCACATGCAAATGCCCTGGCTGCATTTTCCTCAAATAACTGATGTCTAATTGAGCTGGGAATCGCGGTTATTCCTCACGTTCCAATTTGTTACTTATACCCTCACTATTTATCCGAGTCTTATTGATTGAGCGAGTCACATGTCGTCATTTCAACTTGTTTTTGTCGCTGAGGTTGCTTCTCAAAGAGATTATTTTTCCTGCCCGTTGTTTTTGGTTGGGAACGGCTGAGTTCTGAAAGGCCATCATTATGCAAGGTAAGAAGAGTTTATGAAACACCTGCATAATAGGTTATGGGTCCGTTTGGTTCTTGCATTTAAATCAGTGATTTTGATTTTGAATTTAAATTTTGTGAGAACCACTCTTTGGCGGCAACTTTTTTGATTCAAAATTTGTGAGAAAAAAACTGTAGCAGAATTAGAATAATGAGTTCAAACGCAGGAAGCATATGGGCATATATATTTTGAAAAAAGATTCTGTTACAATTTGGACTTGAGACTGTTTTGTTGGTTAATTTGAACATCTTTTGAAGCTAACTTTTACTCCATTTCCTTGTGTGTGTGCGTGTACATACTACATACATGCATGCGTGTGTCCGCAACCAATGTCTGGCATTTTGCTGCTCCTAGTCAGCATGAATTTTTATTAACAAGTGTAGTTATTCTCATTTTTCAGGTCTTGCTTGTGCTTCTTCCAGCACCATCTCCATTTTTCCTGTCCGGAGAGATTGCGTTGCGTTATTCATTTCCTGAGTGTATATTTTCTGATTTTTATTTGTTATTATTTCTATTTTTTTTTCCAGATATTATGGCTGTGTTCTTTTGTTCATTTATTTGTTGGGCTTTTAAAGCAGTCATATAGTCGTGTGATTGTAGATTTTTGTACTTTATAGGCTTAAGAATCAAGCATGAAGAATCATAGGCTCTTGTCTTTTGTAAGAGCACATTATATGGTAATATATTTTTCTTTTTGCCGTTTCAGATTATATTTTGTAATCTCTCTCTGTCTCTCATATTGCGTATAGCTTTCAAATTATTGGGAAGGTCGACATATGTTCGCAAGTAATGAGCTCCTCTTCCTCTGCTTTCTTTTTTTTTTTTTTTTCTTTTTTTAAAGCTTTTATGATGATGAATAGTAATAAGCTCATGGGTAAACCAATTAGTAGAGCACAAAATGGGGAGGTGATAGACATGATGAATAATGGGTCGTCTAGTATAATACACCAATCATATATTATTGTAGGACAAGGACAGAACCAATCACATTTATTCTAGCAAAAATCATATTTTATTGTAGGACAAGAACCAATGGATCCCTTGAAAAAAAAAAAGAACAAGAACCAATGGATAATAATCATAATATGATATGTAGTTCTATTAGATGTTGAAAAGACAAACAGACAGGTTCACAACTAATAAGATTTAGAGCTCGTTGTTTTAGAGTAAAATTTTAAAAAAATTTAAATTTAAGTTACAATTTTATTTAAGTTTATAATCTATTGTAAATTTTGAGTTTAAACTTGAGTTTTAACTCAAGTTTTAATTTGAGTTTGGGGCTAAAATTTGAGTTCAAGTTTTCTTTTCAACTCAAGTTTTTAAATTCAAACTTGAAGTTAATGAACAATATTTTTTCTATTTTTTCGTTTTAATTCTGATTAAGATGATTTTTTTTTTTGTGTTCATAACGAAGAGACGAATAAAATCCCACTCATATACCCTATTAAAATTTTTCATCACCATTGAGGTTTTATTAAAATACTGTTTAAATATAAATTCAAGTTTTGACCCACCTAAACACAAACTAAAATAGATTATCAATTCAAATCATAACTCAAATGTGCACATCTAAACACAAACTCAAGTTATAATTTCAACTCAAATTATAATTCAAATTTAACTCAAAATCTACATTCAAGTCACTATAACTCAAAAATGCAACCGAACAAGCCCTTAAGCTATCCAGTTGAGCCAACTAGTAGCAACAAAAAATGCAGATACGAAATAAGAGTCCGTAAAAAAATGTCTTCTATAATATGTATATAGTAATTTGTCATTTTTATTACGCTCCCACAATTTGCCACAAATATATCGATCACAAGGAATATATTATAAATCCTCTTAAGGCTGCTGGATTGAAAATGAGTAGAAGTTCCTTTCACCTACTTCTGTAAATACTCAAGGTTAGTTTCTGCATGAAATCTTATCATTTTTAATCTTGTAATTGTGATTGATTAAATATATACTAATGGGAGGATTCACTTGAAGTTTTAAAATTTATGCCACTGCATTGACGGTATTAGAAATTCTAATTAAACTAATCGTTTTTATTAGAATAATAGATATTAGATCTAATATGTCATTCCTTAAAAAAAAAAAAAAAGGTCTATATATTAATAAGAGGAGTCCAGATCTGGATTTGCACTCTGATATTTGAGGACATCGTTGTCATTACACTTTCTAAATTATCATCATTATCAAGAATTAATCTGTTTTGTTTTCTTTACTCATATCTACGCATACATCACAATTCATGCATGAATTCATAAATTAAGTCTAATTAAGTAGGTATTCCTAGTATTGTTAAATTAAGAAATGTCATTTTTTTTTAAAGATTGACTGTAGTTTTAATTGATTTTTGATAAATTATATATTGATCTTGGTAAATTATTAATTAGTCAATCATTAATTTACCAAGGTTTAATGTATCAATTTTCAATCTCGTAAATTATTGATTTCATAATTTTTTTAAAAATGGTATTTTTTTTTTCTTTTTTTTTTTAATTATCAAAACTAAGAACCTTTTCTAAAAGTGTGTTTTAGAAAGGGTCCCCTTCACACAAAATAAACGAACTCAAATTTTTTGTCCAATTTTAGTGTGTAAATAAGTGTCTAACTAATCATATCATGTTATTATATGTAAAATCCAAACTATTTTTTAACTAATTCTTTTGTAACACGTTATAATTTGTTAGACACCAATTAAAATATCATAAATTAGACAGAAGATGGGATCCGAAATTAACAAAAGCCATATATACGAGACGCCAGCACTTCTGTCCTCATTGCTGTCCGCCACTAAAATTTTTGAGTCATTCATGTCATCTGTTATTGAAACTACCGAAAATGGAGTCAACGAAAGGAAAACAGAAGGTGTAGAATTTAGGCTAAATATATATATATATATATGTTTCTTAAAGAAAATGGGGGCGAACCATCCACACGGTGCTAGTTGCGTGAAAAGAACTTATTTCATTTTTGCTAGAAGAGTAACTTATTCAATTTATTAGTTCATTTCCTATTCTACTTTTTTTTTTTTTTTCGTCTATAGAAATTTCCTATTCTACTTCTACACACATGGAAGACGTATCATTATTCATGTCAATTTATAATTTAGGCATTCTCATTGATTTTCTTTAGTTTTTCTCTCTTTTAAATGCAAAATGCTAGATTCCTACCACTGGGGAGCTAAGATTTTGTGAGGGAAATGCAGCCTGTAGGCCCAAATGCGAAAAAAAATATTCGAAAAGAGTAATCAGTTATAAATGCAGATGGGAAAAGGGACCCAAATTTTGTATATGCTGTGTGAGTATGATTGACAATGTTTTTTTTATGAACAATGTTATAGGACACCAATGGTGCTGGTGCTGATCATTATCGACTAATAAAAAGTAGATTCGGTAACATAAAACCTATTTGCTACGTGTTCTTTAGCACCCTAATCCATATTTTAATCATAAGAGACTGTCAAAATGAAACTAGTAGCCAAAAAAAAATCTAGAATGAAGTAAATATTTTGCGATTTTACTATATATATATATATATATTCTGGTAAGATTTGAGATATCTTCTTCTCGTTCATGATTTTCATAATTCAAATATTCGTTTGCAAAATGTGTCACCTACAACAGTACTATGTTAGGGACTATTCTTGGATCTGAAGACTATTCTTGGATACGTAACTCAGAGGATTTGATATTTAAATTCCGATGTGGAATATTCAATTATGATTGTACGTATTGTGTATATTTTAATGTAATTTATTTACTTTTATGTATCACTATCTCCGATTTATAGACTTGTATTTCTTTTCTGGAAAAGGAAAATGGATTTAAAAGCATGAACAGATAATATAGCAAATTATCCTTTTTTTTATTATTACTTATGCCATGCTTTGCCAAAATGATATTTACTCGTTTCGCATTCATTACAAAGGAAAATAATAAATTTCATTATTTTGGAATTTTAACTAACCTCTACCAATAGTCCTTGCAAGAACAATGCCCGTTACTGAAACGATGTAGACACTTCGAGTCTGTCACATATATTTCGCACCCGTACGTCTTAGAGATGTACTTTGCCGTCTCATGGCAATTTCCGCACATTCTTAGGCTTTTAACGATTCTTATGCATTGAGCTTTCCTTGGGAAGCCAATGAGTGCAAAAGCAATCGCAATCTTTTCACAGTGTACCCGGCCGACCTCTTCTTTCTCCTCTTCCTCAATGCAAAGCCCCTCATGAAAACCGTATTTACTCGCTTTTCCTGCTATGTCATGTATCCAAGGATAGAGATAAGGTTCAGATTGATCACCGTTGACAAATGTGTAGACTCTATTTTGCAGTTCAATCCAGCATCTACCCAGATGCCTTTTCGTGGCGTTCTCTTTTTCAAGCTTTCTCATTTTCGGATCATTCTCAGATTTCGCAACTAAAGCATCCGCCTGCGCTCTTAAGCGCTGAATCAAGTAATTCCCTGGTTCCAAGTCGAGTATTTTATCCAGAGCACGCACCGTGAAGCCAATGTTTCTATGATTCCTACTCGCTGTGAGTAAAGCAGCCCAGACTGAGGAGTCTGGTTCCACTGGCATATTTTCAATGAACTCCATTGCTTCTCCGAGCCTACCTGGACGGCCATACAAATCCACCACAGCCGCATAGTGTTCTAGACCAGGAACAATGTTATAATCTTCGGTGATGCTAGAGAAAGCTAGCCTCCCCTTGTCCACTAGACCAGAAAGACTGCATGAATAAATAATACTTAGAAAAGTTCCTCTATTTGGTTTCAATCCTGACTTCGTCATGTCATCAAAGAGATCAAGAGCAGCATTCGAGAAACCATGCAAGACATAACCGGCGATAATGGAGTTCCAAGTGATGATATCTTTTGATAACATTCTATCAAATATAGTCCTCGAATATGTCATATTTCCTGCCTTGGCATAAGTGTCTAGTAATGAATTTGCCACAGGAAGTTCAGAGTCTAAGACTCTACGTAGTATGCAACAATGAATCTCTCTTACCTTTTTTTCTGCAAGTAGATTTGCACAAGTAGGCAATACACTTAACATGGTAACCAAATTGGGAATAACACAGTAGGACTGCATTTGTCGAAATATCCCGAGTGCCTTGTCTTTTTCCCCAACATGTAGGTAACCGGCAACGAGAGAGTTCCATGATGCAGTGTTTCGTTTGACTTTGCCATCTTTTTCCATCCTTCGAAAGAGATCCATGGCTTCGTCCTCATCACCATTCTGTATATACCCCGAGATCATCACATTCCATGTGATAACATTAGGTGCTACATCTGATTCCTGCATTTTCATGAAGAGTTCACAAGCCTTACCACAGTAACCAGCTTGGCAATAACCCCCAATCAACGAGTTCCAAGTGAAAACATCTTTCTCTATGATCATATCAAACACCTCTTGAGCAGCTTCCAATTCCCCACACTTGGAATACATGTCAATGAGTGAATTTCCGACCAAAACATCTTCAATAAGACCAATCTTAATTGAGAAGGCATGGATTTCCAGCCCTTTGCCAAGTGATTTTAGAGACGCACAGGCTGAAACTGCGCTTGTAATCGTAACTGCATTTGGTTTCACTCCAGCCAAAAGCATCTCCTTGAACAAATCCAATGCCTGATTTCTCCTGTTATTTTGAGCAAATCCTGAGATCAAAGATGTCCAAGTAAACACATCAGGAACTATCCCTAAACTTTCCATCTTCTTCATCAGTCCCATGGCAACATCAGTTTGCCCCAACTGGTTATAACTAGCAATCATTATGTTCCAAGTTACCAAACCCGGTTCAGTCCCTTCTTCTCTCACTGCATCAAACAATCTAGTAGCTTCTTCCATCCGACCATTCTGGCAAAACCCGGATATAATCGCATTCCAACTGACCAAGTCCCTCTTATCCATACTCTCAAAAAACCTCCTTGCCCAATTCAGTTTCCCACATTTCGCATACACAGCCAAAATCGAATTGATGACGCGAATAGAACCACAAAAACCGCACCGAACCACCATCGAATGTATCACCTTGGCTGTCTTGAAATCCGCGCAGTTCCCACAAGCCTCGAGGATCTTAGGCAACAGAAATTTATCGGGAAGAATACCATCTCCCATCATCAAGTAAAAAAGCTTTAAAACTTCCTTCCACCTCTGCTCTCTAGAGCACGCACCGATCATGGCCGACCAAGTGAACAAGTTTCTCTCACGCATTCCATCAAACACCCGGCGTGCGTCGTGCAAGCAGCCACATTTCGCGTACATACTTACCAACTTAGTCTCAACAAACGGATTAACGTACTGGACCAATCCCATCATCCGAGCATGGAGCTTCCGACCCAACTCAATAGAATTCGTATCGATACAAGACTGAAGTAAATTCATATAAGTTCTGGGTTTTAGTTTTACCTTCGACCCACGTTCGGCAATGGCGTCGAGAGCCGCAACGGCGTCGCTGAGGCGTCCGTCTCTGCAGAGCTTATCCAAATGGGAGTCGAAAGAGATGGTCGTTGAGAATTCAGATGGCTGAATAATACCAGCTTTAGTGGGAATTATAGGCAGTACTGGAGGAGGCTTTAAGTTGCAGGGAATTATTACGTTCTCCATTGTTGGAGTTTCTAAAACTTTTTATTTTTTATTTTTTTTATTTTAAAATTCTCCGAGTCTACATTTTCCAGTTCATTATCCCCTTTTGTGGTCTACGAGCTTTGGATATCCGTTAAGATTCAGCCGTTTTTTTTCTTTTTTCTTTTGGCCACTCGCAACTCAGGTCTCGGCTTACTGCTGATGTAGTTTTCTGGAAAACGACATTGTTACATTAACAACGAAGTCCTTTTTTCGGTTTTTGAGCAGAAAACGATATGACCTTAGAATGAACATTCTTTTTTTCTTTCTAACAAATGTTAGTTTTTTAATGAGTAATTTAGTAATAATAAATTTTATTAAAAATAAGTGTGTGAAAAGTAAAATGGAAGGTATATATTTTATACAAAATTTAAAAATAATGTCAAGTTCATAATTGATGTAGTTGTGGTGATTTTAATATGTTAATTACTCTGAATATGGTTTTGAAGAAGGAAAGCATACTTAGTCAATGAAAGATTTAGAAGATTTAGTGCAATCATGGAGATTTCTGCAGATTCGATATAAGATCTATTTGAAGAAAGAAAAATAGATTAATTACTTGATGAGTGCTTCTATTATTATTGGAAAAGGAGAAAAATGTATAAAAGATATATATATATATATATATATGTGTGTGTGTGGGTGCATTAACGTGGAGAATAAGAGTGAGAGTGGCCTATGCTTTTATGTGAGGGTATGTGCTTTATAAGGTAATATGTGTGTGTGCAGACTAAATCTATCCCATTAAGAAGGATTTAAAATTGGTAATCAGATTGATTTGAAAAAGTATTCAATTGGCACTTGACCTGGATTACACGTGAATTATTGTTATATATATAGCATATGGGTGTACGTGAGTTTCACAGCCTTGGAAGTGAGAATATTGGGCTTTTATGTTTTTGAGATTTTAAAGCAATTCAAGGCTGCCTATATGAGGGGTGCTCTTACAGAGAATATTTGCAGAAGAGAAAGTTTGTGATTAGTGAGCCTTTGAGTGTTGATTAAAAATCGTCATTCGGGAGAAGGATTAGAAGCTTTTGGGAGAAAGTGCACTGCCAGCCGAAAGGATTTCGCCGTGCAGTTTTTTAAGCGAGTAGTGCTCGTTGGACAAAGCCATTAAGGAGATTCGACATGGCGGTGACAACGTTAAGGAGGGAGTCTTTGGGTGTATAAGTCCGATTGGTGTTTGTAATCCTTTGATCTTAGTAGATTGTTTAATGTCTGGGCATGTCCCTGCAGATGTAGGTGTGCGCACCAAACTGTGATATCAATTCCTTGTGTCTTTTATGTTTTTGTTAATCTTTCTGCACTTATAATTTGTTGATGCTGAATTAAAGAAAAAATATATCTATCTACACGTATTTGTCATCAGTGTTACAACTAGTGTTATAATACTCTTTGTGACACCGACTGAAAAACATACCTTTCACTAAATTTTTAATTTTGATAAATTATTTCTTAAACCTTTTATTTTCAATCATTTTAGTGCTTGCACATCAAAATTGACTATGTTTTTCTAAAAATTTTATATAGATTATCACATCCCAAATGAAAAATAGCTGAATTTTTCACAGAAATAATTTTATTAAATGTTTAATATTCTTTTCATTGTTTTTACAAATCATTAAAAACTAGAACAGTTTACATTTAGTATGACTATTTCTATAACAAAATTCAGTTACTATTTTCCTAGGACGTGATAATCTTTGAAAATTTCAGAAGTCATTTCTTAGGAACTATTGTGGAGGCGTGGCCTCAAGATCATAATATTATGCAGGGACTTAAGTGGTTAATTAAAGTTTAGGGGAACCAAAATGACACATACTGGGATAATTACCTTTTTTTCTAGGCCATTTACTACCACACAGAAAAGAAAATTGTTGAATTTATCCTCAAAAGTGTACGTGTCTTGATTTTTATCACTTACTTTTATTAGTACGATTTTGTTAATATAGTTATTTGATTAAAAATAGTATTAATTAAGAGTAAAAAGTAAAAATCAAGATCTATACACTTTTAAGGAATATTTGTCAAAATTTATAATTACAGAATAATACAAAATGTCTAAGAATGTATATTGTTTTATTTAATTACAAAAATGTCCAAAATTAAGGACGTTTTAACTCTTACAAAATGAAATAATTAACATTTAATAAAGAAATTTTAAAAGAGAAAATATCACTTAACAATCACGAAACCAAGAATCATCTTTATATATATATTCTTTCGATTTTTAAAGGGAAGTTAAATGCTGGTATAATATCGACAGAAGGAAACATATTACAACTAAGTTCGCATCCGCTAGTCCTGCTTTATAATTAACTTATTTGTTGTTCATATCTCAATTTGTCATTAAAAAAAATAAAATCATTTTAGTATGTTATGTCACAGGCACCTTGCGTTTTCAAAAATGTTAAAAAGGCACTTTCACATTTTAATGAAAAGCATCATCTTACGTAAGGTAGATTTTTGGACATATGCATGAAACATTTGTTATTGATTAAACTTTTTTTTTCCCCCTAAATATGTTATAATCTCCTTCTTTTTTGTAAACAACCAAACTGCATGCATCCCACGAAATCCCCGAATAAGAGATTTCAAAAAATCTTTTTACACCAATGTCTACTTGAATGTTAAGCTGCAATTCCTTTAGAGATCTTCCTTCTTCAGATACTGTTTTTCTTTCCATGAACAGTTGTATCATTATGTCTACCATCCTCATTTGCTCATCATTATTAGGTAATAGAGATGAAGTGAATACATACTGTTGGTGGTTTGATCGACACCAGGGTTACCGATCAATGCTTTGCCAATCGCTCTCCTAAACAGCCTAGAATTGTCGAATAGCCCTCCTAATGTAGCTGAACGGGACAACATGGACCTCCTCTCTTGTCACCGATAGGCGCTCGGCAAGGCCGCTCCTCGGCCACACACTGTGGGAAATGTCAAGGGAAGGATGCTGCGTACACAATCTCCCATTTGGAGTCATCTGCACCTCCATTGGAGATAGTACGACTTGCATGGATTAATGACATCAGTACATGAACCTGATAAGACTGTACAACCGTACAAGAGAGCCTCATATGAGTCATGCGTCCAACCTCAATCCAACAACAAAAGGGTTTATTTAGTATGAGAATTTAAATTAAGATGATTCTAATTATTATTCTAAAATCAGAATCATTATTCATGATTTTGGGTTCAAATCATGATTCAGAATCAGGGGTTTGAATCACCTTAAATAAAGAGAGATGGTGGTTTTAGAATCATGATTTGAGCTAGTTTAAAACATCACATTAGATTTTGAATCATGATTCAGAATCATTCAAACTAAACACTGATTCTGAATCATAATTCAAAATCACTGTAAACAAACACTGATTCTGAACTAGAATTCAGAATCATGATTCTAGATTTATCTACCAAGCGCACTCTAAATTAGCGTTAGAGAGCCATTGACAAGCACCACACAGGTATCCCCTGACTCTGAAACCCACTTACTCATTGGTGCAGAATAGTGATATTCTCTTTCTCATATGGAAGAACAACAGACCAGAGAGTTTGACGAACTCCGACAGAAGAAAGAGAGTTTGATCACCGTGCCGCACGTGATATTGTGTCAGATTTGAACATCGACACATACATAGAATGTTTACAATAATTTCTCAACTTTGGCTATTACAATAATTTCTCAACTTTGGCTATTACAATAATTTCTCAACTTCAGCTATTATAATAATGTTTATAATGTTTACAATAATAGAATATTTACCATATGAATTATCACAAGTGGTGAGTTAATTATACCACTTTGAAGCTCGACTCTGACATGTTTCCAAGTGGGCCAATAAGGACCTCTATGAGTCCAATTGAACTATTTTCCCGGGTCTCAACATGATAAGCTTGGAAGTGAAATCTTGTTGGTAAGTATCATGTGCAAAATTGTTCATCCTAAGTCATAGTCAATGCAAACTCTCCTCCATGTCACGTCAGTACTATATGTGACTTTGATGAAATCATTCATGTTGGAAAAACTTGATTGTCAATCGACTCTTAGGATATATTTACTTTACATTAAAGAGAAAAAGAAAGTGTAGATTGATTATCATTCTTATTTAATAATGTGTAACGAGTAAAGAGAATATCAATCTTTGCATTCCTTTAATATTGATTTCTTGTTAAAGAGAATGAATGCTAAATTTATTTATCTACCCTTAAGGAACTATTATATAGTCAATGATTATCAAATTCTATAAAAGGACATTTTAGTGATTACATTCATAACATTGTTATTCTTAATTTTAGTAAACATAAGAAAGGAAATGAGATTGTTACCTATTACACCATCTGATAAAGAATTATTATATAGTCAATAATTATCAAATTATATAAAAGGACATTTAAGTGATTACATTTATAACATTGTTATTTCTAATTTTAATAAATATAAGAAAAGAAATGAGATTGTTATCTATTACACAATCTAATAAAAAAATGAATGATCCTTAATTCTATTATTTTATTTTTTTTAATTCCATGACGTTTTTCATTATATTCTTTTACTTTTTGGTAAACGCGTCCTTAGTTAATGGAAAATTTTTTACAATCACACAAACTATTCTTCACTCTCAATAACCACAATACACTCACACTTTTATAGATAGAAACTAAAATATACTTGAAGTGCTTTTAAACTGGACAAGTTGAAACAAAGCTACAAAGCTCCCACTTTGCTTCATAATTGATATGGGACAAAGACACCCTTTTTATTTCGCTGAAATCTTAATTAATGCCACCTTGTATGGTACACAACGAAAAAATAGACAGTAAGTGCAGTCACAACAAGTAGTAAACAAAAATAAATACATATAAATAAAATAAAAAAGACAAGTTAAAGTATCCTATCCTCCATATACAATATACAAAAACTCATGACCTAGAAAGAATCAACAAAAGAAAAAAGATCTTAAAAAAACCAGATTCTCGTCCGTTTGTTAAAACCTAAGTAAATATAAATGAGTAAGAGCAGTCACAACAAATAGAAATAAAGATAAATTAATACAAAAAGATAAATAAAATAAGAAGACAAATTAAAATATCATATCATCCATTCATACAAATATACAAAACATGACGACCTAGAAAGAATT